ACCTCTACAGCAAAAATAACGACTTGTGGCTTTTTATGGCCACACATGGTGAGTGGGGAATTGGTCAGTTTTATGGCTGTGGGAAATGTGGCAAATATGCAAATTTCTATGCCAATCATCCCATTATCGATATTATCGATAGGACAGGATAATCGATTATCTCTCGATGAATGGGCACTCAGTTTATGTTTGTGTATGATCCACAGATTTGACGATTTTGTAGCCTGCTTTATGTTGGCAGGCAATCGATTGGCTAGCTATGATAAGCGATAACATATCGATTGCTAGGGTTGGCTACGCTTGGCTACGGTTAGTTCTGAACCTAAAGGACTCTTTTAAGGCATCGACTAATGGATGGTAAATCCTCGTGACATTAATTATTGATATTGGCCTTGCTCCTTTTCTGTGTAAATCCCCGTTGGGGCTTTTGGGGGTAACCACTCGGATTACACTTTGCCGAAAATATGCTAGGAATGTTCTTTCCTTTCTCCGGTTGTTGCTTGTTCGCTCCTGCCCCTGTCCCCCGTCCCCCGTCGCCACCACTGCGTTCTACTGTGGCTGTTGCTGTTGCTGTTGCTTTTTCGCTCTGCATTTTCTTTGTCGCCGTCGGTTATTGTTGCCAGTTTTCCCCAACAATGCAGCAGCAGTGGCAGTGGCAGCGGCCCCCGTAAAGGACAACATGAAACATGCTGAAGACCTTGTGGGGGTGGCATGGGTATGGGACATGAATACGGACAGGCGAGGCCAACGTCAAGCGATGTCCCCCATGTCCCCCAACGCCCGCCACCCTGCTGTCATTGTGTTGCAGGCTGCAGTCTTTTTTTTTTTCTCGGAAGCAGCAGCTGGCAGCAGTAGCAGCAGCAGCAGCAGCAGCAGCTTACCTGGACCGGGACAGGAAATGGCCAACAGCTTATTGCATAACCCACAAGCAATGGCAATGCGGCCAGGCCGGGATTAGAGCTCGCCCCTCGCACCCATTCAATCTGTCCCCTCTCCTCACAGGCAGCAGGAAATATGTTAAGTTGCAGACTTCATTGCGGGGAATGCTTCGAGACTCAATCAAGTTGATAGCGGTAGAGCAGGCGGAGCAGGCGGCAGAGCAGGAGGCAGGAGGGAGGCCTGGGCTTTGTGGCGGCTCTTTGTCGGCTCTTAAAAGTTATCCAATGCAATGGAGAAACTTTTTGCCATTCGCACCGAAAGATTTTCGCAACTGGAAATTCTTCCACTTTGCTGCCTTCGAAAGGCATTCGAGTAAAATATTTCGACATGTGCCCGGCTCTGTGTGTGCATTTCTTTGCTTGACACACACACACACAGACACACACACACACACAGAAAGAGACAGAAGGAGAGAACGAGAGAGATGGAGAGAGACACATGCACACGCATCTGGGGCGACAAGTTGCAACTTGATCCAATTCATTAAATGAAAATTATATTTTATGATTTAAATTGCATTTTCCTGGAGCCCTGTCTGCCAAGCAAAAGCAAACGGAAAGGCACAAGCAGAAGCACAGGCGAAGGCATCCACTGCATTGATATGCCATATCGCATCGCATCGCATCGCATCATGTGTGCATCGTCAGTGGAGTCTGAAACGGGGCCAGGGGCCTGCCTCCAGCCGCCAGTCGCCACCCACTGCTGCGCTTATCTAGTGCCAAAGGCAATGAATCATTGCGCCGACCCAAGCCTGGTGAGAATTTCTCTGCAGTGCACTCACTCGTGTGAATGCAGGCGGAAGGTATAACGAATCTGTTCTTAATCAGGATAATCGCAGGATGTGTGCCAAAGGCATCTACAGCTGGCAGCCTTCTATGACAGGCTGGCTCCCTTACTGTGACTATAAACGTGATCGGAGCAGCATCTCCTCTCCTAGCTCTAGTTCCAGTATCGTTTAAAACATTCTTAATTATGTTTTAACAGCTGCTCCTTCCGCTGCTCCTTCCGCTGCTTTGCCTTCTATAAACCTCAATAATTAAACGGTAGCCCCACAAAGTCAACGCATAAGCTGCCAAAAAATAAGGAGAAAAAGTAAAAAAAACCGAGCAAGGAAAAGGCAAAAGCAGCCGAAAAAAAGAAATAAAAATAAAAGGTTTTCTTAAAGGAGTTTGAGTGTTCTTTTTTTTTTGGGGTAGCGGAAAAACAATTTCAACTTGTTAAGCTTTCGGTGCGTGTGTGTGTGTGTGTGTGAAGGGGATGAATCTGAATTGGAGAGCTGAAGATGGAGCCCTCGAGGGAAACAAAAATGAAAATGTAAACTTTCCCATAGCCAGCTTGTGGCTGCTCCCTCCCCCCTCCCCTACCCCTCCCTCTCTCGCACTGTTTGCTCTAGCGATCATTTTATGTGCGAGGTCAATCATTTGTCATATTTCAGCAGCACCTCTGCCTGCCGTTTTGTGCACGCTTGATTAATGTTTTGTATTTACGCGCCGCGCTCTTTGTGTAATTTCTTTTTGGCCAGCGAGAAACTATTTCCGGTTCCGGCTGTTGGGGCATCCGTTAACATTTGCTTTGCTGTGCTGTGTGACCCCCTTTCCTTCCCGCCTTCCTTCTCGCTACATTTCCTTTAATTGCTTCCGCCTGCAAATGCATTGCTCTCGCAGAGCCACAGTCTAATCGTTCCAATCTACAAATTATATAAGCCTTGACAAATGTCTCTCTCTCTCTCTCTCTTTGTGTCTCCCCTCCACAGACTTCCGCTTGGTGTGGGAGCCCCCAAAAAGTATGCTACAAATTTTGACAGACTGACAGCTGAGGCCATCAGCGACGTGAACATGGACGTGGGTCTGTCTGTCTCTCTCCCTCTCTCCCTCTCGTAAAAAAGTCCCCCAATTAGGGATGAACGCATGCCCCCAGTGTACCAATCACGATCACGACTGAGATTAGAGTCCTGTCTGCAGTGCGGCTGACTACAAAGTTTTAAGCCATTTCCGAAAGTTTTTATGGCATGAAAGTCTATTCCAAATTATTATTTAGGGGATAAATGCCATGAATCGATTACCATTCCATCTAGTTTGAAACTTTTCTTGAGTTCTCATTCCATTCGTGATTTTAAAGCTGTCCCCCAACTAACTCTCGTGACTCTTCTCAGACCTCACGGCCATCTCTGGACGGGCAGGGGCACGGGCACGGCCATCGGGCTTAGGTCAGCACAAAGCCAGTCGCGGGACTTGGCCTGCAATTAACGCAACAAGATTTGATCCCTGCCCCGAGTGCCTCGCACCTCCCACCTTCTGCCGCCCTGCTTCATCTTGGCCACTTTCTTGGGCCGCTTTCTTGATTGTATTTGGTGTAATTTTTAATTAGCTGCTTTGCTTTCGTTCCAGACCCTCCCCTGGCCGGGCTAATTGCCTTTTTCGCCCACTCCGGATCAAGGGCACCACGACATGTGGCCCAAAGTGGTTGGGATCGAGCGGCGGCGGCACCCTCGACCAGTCCCAGTCCCCAGTCCAAGTCACAGGCAGACATTTTTTAATTTAATAAAACTGTCCGCACAATAATTAGCTCCAGTGCGAAAAAAATCTGGAATGGCAGTCAATATTTCATCCGCTGCGCCCCCGGGGAAATGGCTTTTCCCCGCTCCCACGCTCTCTCTCGCTGCGGCATGTCAATACATTTCCGTATTTACATTTCCGCACTTTTTTTTTTTTTGACAGTCTGTAATTCGGTTTGAGAAACTGCCACTGACATTGGAGCTTGATTAAATTTGAATATTTGAATATGCAAGCGGGAATGAGAGCTTGCCAGATGCTCGGGCTCGGGCTCTGGCGATGGCCACTCAAAGGTTTAAGAACTAGAATAATATGTATATATATATATAAAAAATATATCCTGCAGAATCTTGAGAATTCACTTCAGTCCCAGGGCAGCTTTAATATTTTGTTAGTTGAAAAATGAACAAAAGTTGGCAGAGTTTGTTGCAAGACAGCGAATTTCACACTCAAAATAAGTTTCATTGTATATTTATTATGTATGAAATGGGCTATATTAAATGGTTAAAGAGTATTTGTATAGTAGCTTTTTAGTTGATATAAATAGGAAAATAATATGAAGATATAGTAAATCGATTTATCACATACATACATACATATGTACATATCTATGGAGGGATTATATGGTGGCAAACATACTCGTATATTATGTACATAAAAGCAGTTCATAAACTTTTTCCTTGATGTCTTAGGGGATCAAAGAGTAAAATTTACTCATAAACTACACCACTTATGGGCATGTTATAGCAAATCAATTCAATCATTTCTTAAATAATTGCACAGAATAACTGCTGAAGTTTGATTTGCACCTATAATCTTTCTGATCATTCACACACCATTCGTTCAGCTTTATAACTGTTGAACTGAAACGAGAAACTATTACTGCTGCTACTCAGCTAAAATAAACTGCTTGACACTTGCCTTCCGAAACTGCTTGTTTTCTATGCTTTGTCTCGCTCACACCGACGCTGCGGTACTTTTTTTTGTCAAGCAGGTCAAAGAATGTGCCAGAATGTTGCAGTTCATTCAAGGATCACCAATAAGAATTATAAGAGGATGCTAATATAAAATCAGCAGAGGAATCCACAAATCTACCGATCGGGAATACATCATATACAGCCGAGTAGGATCCGATCTGCCAGCTAGAAACAATTTGGGCGCCTTTTTCTAAGAGCATTCACATACACACACTCATACAAATACAAGTAAAAAATGCAAACATTCACGGACAGCGTCAGAGAGCGGCATTTCAGCCAAAACAAACCCAGAGACAGGCCTGGCGGAACCGCCATCGGCGGCACGGATAAACAAACAGACGAGCGGAGAATGCAATAAGAGACAGCGGCGAGCTCGACTTATTGCTTCCACATGTCTCTCCCTCTTTTGGCACTGCTTTGGTACAGGGCTTGGTGTCCCAAAAAACACAAAAATGTGGCACACAGCCACGCACACAGGCCGCCACACACGCACTTGAAAAAAATTGTAAATATTTTTGAATGAGGAGCTTACACGGAGTTTTGGACACGCACTCGAGAAATCCCACTGCTCAGACTAGGACCAGACGCGGCGACAATGGCGAGCGAACTAACTGTAAAAACAGACGCCAGCGTGGCCGTAAAAGCTGCACGGCGTAAATACCCCGCCGGAAGAGCACAAAAATCCGTAAAAATACGCGCAATCACACCAACTGCAGACCTGTCGGCCCTTAAATGACTTGTATAAATCGACTATGGTGCGGATTTCACCAATATTTTGTTAATTACACTATGTTTTAGCAGATATATATACTCACGTTTACTTGTTTTGTCAATTATCCACTCAGCCGACGGCTAACGTCACTCTTCGATTCAAAATGGCCGCGCCTGCAAAATGCTGCAAAAGCACTAGCGCGTCTTTCTGGAAAATACCACTCATAAACCTACGTCAGCTGTTCCCAGGCGCCAAAAAAGTACATCTAAAAATAATTTCAAAAATCTCAATATGTATCAATATACTTTTTTTTATGAAAAATATGTTTGTATCATATAATATTTATTTCAAAAAAAGAATCATCGATATTCATATACACAAATACGCTGACATCAATTCTCTGCGCTGGATAAATGAATATGCACGATTTTAAGCCCCGTCTAAACGGGTTGGCAGCACTTTCTTGTAAAATTAGGGACTGGCAACTCCGTTTGGCACGTTGTTCATATATTCGTTCTAGAAGGAAAAGGATTTGACAGTTGTAGTAGGCGATGCCGAGGACAAATTCGAGCTAGAAATTCACTTAAAGAAAATTCATACGGACTCCGCATTACGGAGCTGATTTTCAATCTGAACGGTAGTTTCTAAAGTGATAACTAGAAAAGTTCGCAAGCAGAAAACTTGGGTTCAAAATTAAATTTCATTTCAAATCAACGAAACGAAGACAAAACAATTGCAAATATGTTTGGATATTTGATAGCGACTTTTTTAAGCTTCTTCCAACGACTGGAACTCTGCGTATTTTCATTCGAAATGGGGTGCACTCCCGATCACGTCTATGAACTACTTTGGACATCAACTTGCATTGCTGTCGGTCTCAGTTTTGGGTTGATGGTGCTTAAGTTGATCATGGGACCCAGAGATAGACCCAGACGCGATATACGCGAGGACGGTGAGCACGTCAATCAAATAATTTGGGACTACTACAATATATTGTACAATCCCGGCGAACGGTGACTACAGTGAACTCCACTTGACGAACGGTAGATCTTTAATAAAATTATTTTTCCTTTTCCAGGGGCCAAGCAGACTATTAAATTTATGTCCCGCTTCATGGTGTTCTGATGATGCGCACCACCTGGCCATACACATCCAGGCAGACAACAGGAGTCCGCTACAGAAACAAAACAAAACGCAAGGGCAATGTACTTGTGTGTACCCACATAAATCCGATATTACATCGTGCTTCATTCTCGAAAATGCTGCCATTCTAGATGTTCTAGAATCTATATTAATAATAGTAATAATAAATGTTCGGCGATTGTCTGCCCCAGCTGATTGGCGTACTATTTTTGATGACATTCCTGGGCCTGGGGGAAGCGCAGGGTCCTTAGCTTGGAGTAGATAATGTCCCAGTCGACGTAGGCGCCGACTAGGTGGCGCTTGTTCTGCGGCGAGTCCTCGTAGGCTGTGCGGCCGTGGAGCATGCGCAGGTTGTTGAACACGAACACGTCGCCAGGCCGCGTCTTGAACTCGACGATCTCGTCGTGAGCGAGACGCAGGAATCTGTCATAGGCCTCGTACCAGGCCACCGCCTGCTCCAGGGGAACCGTGAAGCGGCTGTCCCGCTTCGTAGTGTTCTGATTGATGCGCACCACCTGGCCATCCACATCCAGGCAGACAACATGGGCCCGCCACAGGCTGTGAAAGGGTTGGGCATGGTCCCCGTCGTGCCCGATGTCGTACCAGTTGACGGGCACCGAACGCAGCAGCTCGAACTCCTGCGGATAGAGGCGTCGCATCTCGTCGGCCACATGGAAGCCGTCCACCAGCGTATTAGCCCCGCCCGCCGACTCCGACTGGAAGAGGGTGTGCAGAATGTTGATGCCCGCCTTGTACTCGTAGTAGGGCATGTCCTTGTGCAGCGGCAGGGGCATCATCAGGTATGCATAGTTGCCCGCATTCGGTTTGGACTTGACCTCAAAGACGTCCCTGAATCGAAGGGGGATGGTAAATTATCAGTGGATTTAGTTTGTCTGCGGCGTCTGGTCAGGACTCACCCGTAGGTGGTGCGCTTGATGTAGCCAATCCTTTCGGCCAGGCGCCGGGCCACATTGACGTCGTCGGGCGCATTCCTGAGCAGAGCGAATCCCTGCACAGCCAGGGCCTCCAGCCAGTCCTTTAGCACCTCATCCTGATCGAGGACATTTTGGTAATCGAACTCCCGGCTCACATCCTTGAACTGCGTCTTGCCCCAGAGCTGGACGGGCGGCCGGTAGACCTCCTCCAAGTACCTCTGCCTGGCCGCGTCCCCAAAGTCCCGCTCCCGCAGCCACTGCAGTTGGTAAACGCTCTTGTGCTCGTCCTGCCAGTCGACTTGAAGCTGCTGTCGCTGCTCGTCGTAGCTCACCCGCTGGGCGCCCACGTGGAGTGGTCCGCGCTCCCAGTGGCTCTTGCGTGCCCGCGTCGGCGCATGGAAGCACTCCGTGCACTGGCAGTTGTCCCGCAACCAGACCTGGGGGTACTTGAGGCGCTGCCCGTCAGCCTCGTTGATCTCCACAATGCTAGGACTGGCCAGGCGGGCCTGTCGTCGCATCAGGCGACCAAAAAAAAACATGGGCAATGTACTTGTGTGTATCCACATAAATCCGATATTACATCGTGCTTCATTCTCGAAAATGCTGCCATTCTAGATGTTCTAGAATCTATATTAATAATAGTAATAATAAATGTTCGGCGATTGTCTGCCCCAGCTGATTGGCGTACCATTTTTGATGACATTCCTGGGCGCTGGGGGAAGCGTGGGGTCCTGCTGGGGTAGATAATGTCCCAGTCGACGTAGGCGCCGACTAGGTGGCGCTTGTTCTGCGGCGAGTCCTCGTAGGTTTTGCGGCCGTGGAGCATGCGCAGGTTGTTGAACACGTACACGTCGCCAGGCCGCGTCTTGAACTCGACGATCTCGTCGTGAGCGAGACGCAGGAATCTGTCATAGGCCTCGTACCAGGCCACCGCCTGCTCCAGGGGCACCGTGAAGCGGCTGTCCCGCTTCGTAGTGTTCTGATTGATGCGCACCACCTGGCCATCCACATCCAGGCAGACAACAGGGGCCCTCCACAGAAACAAAACAAAAAAAAACATGGGCAATGTACTTGTGTGTATCCACAAAAATCCAATATTACATCGTGGTTCATTCTCGAAAATGCTGCCATTCTAGATGTTCTAGAATCTAGATTAATAATAAATGTTCGGTGATTGTCTGCCCCAACTGATTGGCGTACTATTTTTGGTGTCATTCCTGGGCCTGGGGGAAGCGCAGGGTCCTTAGCTTGGAGTAGATAATGTCCCAGTCAACGTAGGCGCCGACTAGGTGGCGCTTGTTTTGCGGCGAGTCCTCGTAGGCTGTGCGGCCGTGGAGCATGCGCAGGTTGTTGAACACGAACACGTCGCCAGGCCGCGTCTTGAACTCGACGATCTCGTCGTGAGCGAGACGCAGGAACCTGTCATAGGCCTCATACCAGGCCACCGCCTGCTCCAGGGGCACCGTGAAGCGGCTGTCCCGCTTCGTAGTGTTCTGATTGATGCGCACCACCTGGCCATCCACATCCAGGCAGACAACAGGGGCCCGCCACAGGCTGTGAAAGGGTTGGGCCTGGTCCCCGTCGTGCCCGATGTCGTACCAGTTGACGGGCACCGAACGCAGCAGCTCGAACTCCTGCGGATAGAGGCGTCGCATCTCGTCGACCACATGGAAGCCGTCCACGAGCGTATTAGCCCCGCCCGCCGACTCCGACTGGACGAGGGTGTGCAGAATGTTGATGCCCGCCTTGTACTCGTAGTAGGGCATGTCCGTGTGCAGCGGCAGGGGCACCATCAGGTATGCATAGTTGCCCGCATTCGGCTTGGACTTGACCTCAAACACGTCCCTGGATCGAAGGGGGATGGTTAATTGTCAGTGGATTTAGCTTGTTTTTTAGCTGCGGCGTCTTGAGGTCAGGACTCACCCGTAGGTGGTGCGCTTGATGTAGCCAATCCTTTCGGCCAGGCGCCGAGCCACATTGACGTCGTCGGGCGCATCCCTGAGCAGAGCGAATCCCTGCACAGCCAGGGCCTCCAGCCAGTCCTTTAGCACCTCGTCCTGATCGAGGACATTTTGGTAATCGAACTCCCGGCTCACATCCTTGAACTGCGTCTTGCCCCAGAGCTGGACGGGCGGCCGGTAGACCTCCTCCAAGTACCTCTGCCTGGCCGCGTCCCCAAAGTCCCGCTCCCGCAGCCACTGCAGTTGGTAAACGCTCTTGTGCTCGTCCTGCCAGTCGACTTGAAGCTGCTGTCGCTGCTCGTCGTAGCTCACCCGCTGGGCGCCCACGTGGAGTGGTCCGCGCTCCCAGTGGCTCTTGCGTGCCCGCGTCGGCGCATGGAAGCACTCCGTGCACTGGCAGTTGTCCCGCAACCAGACCTGGGGGTACTTGAGGCGCTGCCCGTCAGCCTCGTTGATCTCCACAATGCTAGGACTGGCCAGGCGGGCCTGTGTGCTGGCCTGCCGTCGCATCAGGCGACCAATCATGTGTCTACAGCTCAGCATGGCGCGACCGACTAAAGATCGCCTAGATAGATGGCTATCGAGCTCCAGAGGGTTCAACAGCCGATACGCTGGCGATAAGTTGGCTGCTCTTATCACTGTGGCTGGGCTGTACGCATGGCTGTGCGCTTGGCGGTGCCTTCGTCTGCCGTCCCTCCTCCTCTTCCGCTTCTATGTCGAGCACTTCGACCAGGGCCTGCGGCTGCTCGAGCCAGCACTCGCGTTGGCTGTCCACAACAAAGCTGCGACGGCCCTGGCAGAGCGGGCACTCCAGCTGCAGCGGCGTATGCTCGTCCACGGTGCTTTCTTTTGGCTGTGATTCAGTCTTTTCCACCGCTCTCTTCTTGCTGCGTTGGCGGCGATGGCGCTTCTTCTTGCCCGCCTTTGGCTCTGCTCTTTGCTCCTTCGCCTGCGGCACAGTCAGACTCGTATTCACTCCGGGAATGAGGGGCAGGGAGCAGCGCTTGCACAGCGCACGCTTCATCGCTGGAGCCCTGATCAGGGAGAAGAAAAGAAGAAAGATTGAAATGGACAAGGCACACGACTGGCTGGCTGGGTGGCACTTACATGTGCATCATGGATTTGGTGCCCACATTCCGGCAGAGCTTCCCGTAGTAGGCGCCAAGGGTGTTGTGGCTGCCCTCCGCCATGAGGTGGGCCGCCTGGTACAGAAAGTTCATTCGGGAGCAGACAAGGCGCTGGGCAAACAGCTTCTTTTTGTTGTTTTTGGCCATGTTTAATAATTAATAACAAAATAAACGTGTGCGTGCAGAAAAACGCAGAAATAAACAAGGCAGACATGAGAATGGCCAAAATTTGTGGCATTCCAACGGTATGCATGGCTGGTCACACCTGAGCGACCAGCTGTTTCCCGCGTTTTTGAACCAGTTGTGGGTCACACTGCGACATTTTGCAAAAATTGCCAAACAAAAAGAAAGAAACGCGCAAAATGCAGCACGCTACAGCCAACTAGGAGCCGCCACAGCAACCATACCAAGTCCAATAGCCAGATACAAAGCAGTCGGATCGAAGCTATTGCCCACGATTGCCATTCGAGCTGCGTGACATTTTGTATCGCCTTTTCTTGCTGGAGCGGAAAGATGTTCATCCAGGACCTGAAGAATGACTTCTACAGGCACTTGGTGGGCAAGCGTATCCTCATCGTCGTCAACTACGACATTGACGCCATCTGCGCCAGCAAGATCCTGCAGGCCCTCTTCCAGTATGACCACATGCTCTACACGGTGGTCCCCATCATGGGCATCACGGGTCTGCGACGCGCCTATGGCGAGCATCAGGGCGACGTCAAATACGTGCTGCTGGTCAACTGCGGCGGCTGTGTGGACATCGTGGAGCTGCTGCAGCCGGCGGAGGATGTTACCTTCTTCATCTGCGACGCACATCGGCCGCTGGACGTCTGCAACATCTACAGCGATCGGCAGGTGTGTATACTGGGCGATGCCGCGCTGGAGGAGAACATTCCCGCATTCGAGACCATTTTCCACGACTCTGACGGGGAGGATGACGACCAGGACCAGTCCGACGACGAGGAGGACGAGGAGGAGGTCCACAACGACAGCGGTGCTGGCGACTCGGACGGCGATGAGGAGAGTGCGCAGCGCGCTCCGGGGCGGCCCAAGCTAACCCGCCTGGAGCGGCACGAGCAGCGCATCCTCCGGCAACGCGCACGCCGCCAATGGGAGTCGGAGCGGGATCGCATCATGTTCGAGTACACGCAGTTCAGCTACTACGGACGCTCCACGGCCCTGCTGATCTTCGAGCTGGCCTGGAAGCTGTCCAAGGACAACATGGACCTGCTCTGGATGGCCATCGTGGGCATCAGCGAGCAGCTGCTGCTAGGCAAGATCGAGAGCGGTGCCTACACCCTGGAGTTGGAGCACATCCAGTCGCATGTCTCCCGCCTCACAAACAAGACCAACGACCAGAACACGATGAGCGCCTCCAAGATCAGCTTCGAGAACGACCTGCATCTGGTGCTGTACCGGCACTGGCCGGTGACCGACTCCATGAGGTAGGTCCAGGGCCGAAGGGAGGGTAAAGGGACCACTCCTGATCCTAATGCAGGTAATGCCTCGTACTCCTCTTGCAGGTACTCCCGCTACGCCTCCTGCCAGTTGAAGCTGTGGACGCTGCGCGGCGAGAAGCGACTCCACGAGCTGCTCCTGGAGATGGGTCTGCCGCTGGTGCACGCGCGTCAGACATACAGCGCCATGGACCTGGTGCTGCGCAAGGAGTTCTACTCGATGGTGGAGCGGCTGGCCGAGAAGTACGACATACCGGACATCGTCTACGGCACCTTCACCCTGAGCTATGGCTACCGCAGCCGCTATGCGGCCGCCGACTATGTCTACGCCCTGCTGGCCATCATGGAGTCGGTGAAGAAGCACAAGACGCCCGAGGACTGTTTCATGGAGGCCTCCGACGCCCTGAGCCGCCAGCACAAACAGCTGCTCGCCGCGGGCATCGACAATGCCAAGCTGATGCATGCGGCTATCTTCAGACAGGTGCAGAGCAGCCTGGAGGCTCGCCAGGTGCACTCGGCCGGCTCCTTCTTCTACTATGTGCTGCAGGAGGAGCACGCATTCTTCTCCTACCCGTACGCCCTGGGCCTGCTGGCCAAGTTCATGCTGCGCGGCCATGTGGCCACCAGCAGGGCACGCGCGGCCCCGGACCTGCCGCTCATTGCCACCTGTCCCCTCGACGCCACACAGGGCATGTGCCTGCTGGTGGGCATTGCGCCCGTCCGCGAAGACTCGCCCAAGAACTTCTTTGGCAAGGCCTTCGAGCAGGCGGCCCAGAAGAGCAAGACCACCCTGCTGCAGGACTTCTTCGAGCCATCGGTTGTCCAGCTCCGGCAAAGCGACCTCACCCGCTTCCTCGACGCCCTCACTGTGCTGCTCACCTAGTCCTAAGCCTAACCCACACGCCCCATGCCCTGCTCCTCAATCATCTTAGCCAATAAGTTAGCCATAGCCTAATTTATAAACGACACAATTGTATCATCATCTAGTTTAGGGTTAGCTAGCCACTTTTTTTGTATGTTTGTCAATCGGACTCTAGAATATATATTTGTAGTTGATTAATGTGTGAAAGTCGCTGCTCTGTCTCCTGTCTTTTGTGGGTTGGATTGCTGCTGGCTGCAGCACCCAAAGGGTGTTTGGCTACAATCGAAGTATATTTCGGGGTAGCAAATTTCCACTTCCCTGTTAACTGGATATGGCATATCCCTCTCATGCAATAGTTCAAACGGATTGAAATGTGGAAGGGATTATTGCGCCCCATTTGTTGTGTTGTGTATCTGCAGGAGCCAGAAATGTATGGGAAATGTCATGGGCTAAAACAAAACTAAACAATTAGAGGTGTGACAATCCTTTCCATAATCATGAATATATGTATGCAGCTGTCATAGGAAACCAGAACAACGAACTGTAGTAGATCGTGGGGTCTCAGGTCTCCTTTAAAGTTGTTCTCTAATACAATATTTCAATTAGCACCAAATAACTATATTAAATTAGTTTTATGGAAATTATTGCATTCCCCAATGAGTCTTCGGTATTTTTACAGAATAGTTAACAAAACTTTACAAACAGATCGTCGATTCGAACACACACAAAATGTCCAATAATCTTAACCCAAGTGGATCCGTTTTGGTTGACTTGATTATAAGCATTGGCTGGCTCTCATGTGTTTTGGTTTCTTTGGGGATGCCCATTCCCTTCGTGACTTCGTGTCAGCTGGTGATGGTCTGGCTTTGAGCCTGCTGCTCCTGGCAGCTCCTGGTTAGAGCATCGGCGCTCAGGATGCGGGCAGCGCCCAGGCAGGCCATTTCGTCGTAGAATACCGCATACTGGCCGGGGGTTATGGCGCGCAGAGGCGCATCCAGCAGCACCTCAAAGCCGCCATCGGGGCAGGAGCGGAGGCAGCAGTCAACCAACGGCTTGGTGTGCTGGAAGCGAAAGCGGCAGCGCAGGCTGCCAGTGGATGCCAGCCGCTGCTGGGATTGAGCGCACAGCCAGTTGGGGGCCTCGATGTACATGCGGGTGCTGAGCAAGGCGGGATGGTCGTGGCCGGCGGCCACGAAGATGGTGTTGCTGGAGGCTTCCTTCCGGGCCACGAAGTACGGCTGCAGAAAGGAGCCGAGGCGGCACCGCTGGCCCACGGTCCACTGGTGGATGCCCTCATGGTTTCCCACAATGGCCCCATTGTCCGTGTCCACAAACTGGCCGCTCCTGGAGGCAATGTACTGAGGAGCAGAGAGTGGGGCATGAGTACAGGAAGAGGCTCACTAGTGGATGGAATTACCTCGCGGATGAAGGACTTGAAGTCGCGCTTGCCCACGAAGCAGATGCCGGTGCTCTCCCGCTTTTGGGCCAGGCGCTGGAGGCCAATTTGTCGGGCCAAGCTCTTCACCTCGCTCTTGGCCAGGTCGCCCAGGGGGAACATGGTGCGCTGCAGGGCCTGCCGTGGTATACCCGCCAAGAAGAAGGTCTGATCTTTGAAAGTGTCCGCCGGTATGAGCAGACGGGCGTCCCCACCGCACCCGCGATGTTCCAGAAAGTTGCCCAGACTGTTGCGGGCATAGTGGCCGGTGGCCACGGCATCGTAGCCTATCCGCTCCAGAGCATGGCGATGGAACAGGTCGAACTTGATGTGCCGGTTGCAGAGGATGTCCGGATTGGGGGTCAGACCCTGCTGGTAGTCGTCCAGGAAGGCGCTAAACACCGCCGTCCAGTACTCCTTCACGTAGTTCACCTGCCGCAGCTCGATCCCCAGCCGCTGGCACGCCCATTCTGCGTCCTTTAGGTCCTGCTCGCCACTGCAGCGACCGGCCTCGTCGTGCTCGTCCCAATTACGCATAAAGACGCCCAGGACGCGGTGGCCGCGCTCCTTCAGTAGGTGGGCGCTCACGGCACTGTCCACGCCCCCCGACATGCCCACAACAACGTTGCGGAGCATTTTTTACTACAATTTTTTTATTTTAACAATTCTGTTAATTATTGATGTGCCCATATATCGATATATTGCGGTTGAAATTAAAATGTTCTTAAGAGCGGCACTGAATGTTAGCTAAATAAGCTTAATAGCTTTATGCTGCTTACGACGCATCTGAACGTCGCTAATATACGGTAAAAATAATAACAACAGCACAACAATAATAATAACAGCCGTTTTATGGTTTGGCCGCTTTTGTTTGATCCTTATTATGTCAAAAATCCAATGAAAAAGAGTTCTGAAAACTAACCAATCCTGAACAAAATTTATTGAGGAATTGGATAAAATTATTTGTTCAGGGCTGAGAGGGCCAACTAGCTAGTAATATTCAACTGAATATCAAAATTGACGAATTTCAAATCACAACATATCATGGTATGGCAGCCCGCAGCAACTACGAATTGCACGAGTCTGGCAACGCCACAAAAAGACGTCACATTCGTTTTATGCTGTTTTTGTTTGAACTAATATGTAAATATGTAAATGTAAATATGTAAATAATCCAATGAAAAAGAGTTCTGAAAACTAGCCAATCTTGTGCAAAATTCATTGAGGAATTGGATAAAATTATTTGTTTAGGGCCGAGAAGGCTAACTGGCTAGTAGTATTAAACCGAATATCAAAATCGAGGAATGTAAAGGCATTTTGTCAGTATATTTACGGTATATTTTGATTATGACAAGGTATATTTCGGTATATTTCTGGGGGTCAGGCGGTATATTTCAGCGATAAATCCGCGTTCACACTGCTTTTAGCATTTCCAAAAAAAATAAATAAAAAATAGCGACAAATGCCCGATGCTGCTGCCCGAGATCACATAATTCCAAGTGCTTGACCCAGTGTGTAGTGAGTGTGCAACAGCATCCAGAGAAACAGGAAAGAGAGAGTGAGAGTGAGCCCAGAGGCTAGAGTCGGAGCTGGATTTGTTGCTGCAGTTGTTGATGAAGTGGGCGCTGCAGTGAAATGATGCCCTACAATGTGCGCTCCGCTGGCGGCGGCAGCCTCGGTGGTATTCTGCGCAAGACTGGTGCCGCTGCAGTTGCTCCCGGCGGACTGTCGGCGGGGGCCAGCAACGGCAACGGTGCGACGATACTGGACGCACGCCAGCCGCCCTTGGAACTGCTCGTCTTCGGCTACGCATGCAAGATATTCCGGGATGACGAGAAGGCGCGCGAACTGGACCACGGCAAGCAGTTGATACCCTGGATGGGCGATGTAAATCTCAAGATAGACAGGTTAATAATTGGGGGTTGTCTAAGCGTTAATTGTACGATTATCAATACATAAATACATACCACAATTCCCCCCCATACAATCCGCCCGCACACACACACACACACAGAAACACGCGCACCTATGCGTACCCATGGACCAGCTGACGACCCACGGCATACCCTATACTTTGACTTGAACTGCGGACTGTAACTGTACTCTACTGGACTGTAACACCCAACCACCCACTCACACACACACACACACATACACCACCCACCAATATCCACACACGCACACACACATACACACCATTGTAATAACAGCTCTTTTCAGTGCTTCTCAAACTGTATCTCTTACCATACAACAAAAAAAAAAAAAACCAAAACAATTATTGAATCTGTAATTCTTTGACCAATCTTAAATGTAAACCGATTAACTTTTTAGCCACCGGAGCGGTATGTATGAACGATCTCTAGCTATAAACCGATTTCTTAACCTCTCTACTATAATATTGTATTGTATTTATAAACATATATTATTTATATGATCGTGGATCGATGGGAAACAAATGACTCGATCGATACTGTAAGATCTCCAAAAGGGGGGCAGTGGTTCGATTGTGTTCGATTTGTTTGCCATGATTTTCGATTTTCTGCCGCGCCGCGTCCCGCTCGTCCTGGATCTCACTGATAATGTCTCTTTTTCTCTCTCTATCTTTCTCTCTCTCTCTTTCTCTCTGTCTATATCTTTCTGCTTGATCTCTTTTGGCACAAAACACACACCCATCCACACACACACACACGTGTATATTTATACGCAATATATGTGTAGATACGATGTGCGTGGCGCACTCTGCGATCTGGCACCCTACGAAGCGCCACCTGGGGGCTACGGCAACCGGCTGGAATACCTGAGCGCCGAGGAGCAGCGCGCCGAGCAGCTGTGCGAGGAGGAGCGCTATCTATTCCTGTACAACAACGAGGAGGAGCTCCGTTTGCAGCAAGGTAAGTCGGCCCTGCCTGGAGACCCACAAAACGCCTTCAAAAAATGCGCCTTGTCTTATCAAAAACCAAAACCAAAAACAAAACAAACCAAAAAAAAACATAAACAATTCCAAGTAGTAGAAATCAATCAAGAAATCAAAGAGTACCCGAGAAAGGTAAATTAAGACAAAAACAAAAGACAATCAACAAACCGAAAAACGAAAACCCCCAAAAACAAATCAACATACATACATACATACACACATACATACATACATATATATATATATAGAAATATATATATATAAAACCTAAGCCACAAAAACCAATCCAAACTCGAACTCAAATTCGAATTTGAATTTGAATATGAAAAGTGAGAGCATCCGTCGTTGCTGTTGCTGCCCCCCCAACCCCCGCTGACCCGTCGCCCCCGCAGGTAAATACGAATTCCTTACACTCTGACAGATTATAGCTCTCTTTCAGGTACCAGATCGCCGTCACCACCGCCGCCACTGCAGCGCCCCAAAGACCCTGGAAAAACAAACGCAATTTTCCCCACACTCAAGCCGCTGTGTCTGTCCCGCTCTAGACCATGCTCTCCCATCGTCGCTCCCGCGTTCTCTCTCTGTCTCTCTGTATCTCGCTCTCGCTCTCTCACGCTCGCTCTGACTCAGTCAGCGGGCTACAGACGCGCGCCTTGACGCTAGTCCTAGTCCCTCCTAACACCCGCTCTAACGGTTCTCTCTGCCTTGTGTGCTTCTCTCCCTCTTGTTTCCGCGCAGAGGAGGACCTCAAGCGGCTGCAGCAGGAGACCTCCGGCGGCAACTATAGCCAGGTGGACTTCCAGTACGATGGCCAGGGCGTGGCGTATGCTGCTGCTGCTGGAGCTGGAGCTGCCTCCTCCACGACTGTGCCGCCCTCGCTCTCGCCGGGCACCGCAGAGGAGAACGAACTGCCTTTTGTCCTGCCACGCACCCTGCTCCTGCCGCTGCCGCCGGGAATGCTGGTGGTGAGTATCCGAATAAAGAATACGAATACTCCTTTCAAGACGAATAAATCTGATTAATCTGATAAATCTGTTCTCCCGCCAGCCCGAGACGATGAAAGCAACATGCCATCATCGAGAAGACGGCCCGCTTCATAGCCTATCAGGGCACCCAAATGGAGATCCTGATCAAGGCCAAGCAGTCCAACAACTCACAGTTTGACTTCCTCACGCAGGGCGGCCACCTGCAGCCCTACTACCGTCACCTCCTGGCTGCCATCAAGCAGGCCAAGTACGCCCCCACGCCTGAGAGCTCCACCAACACCGAGGCAGAGCCCGGCTCCGGCTCCGGACTGGAGAGCCAAGGCCAGCGAACGGGTACCAGTACGCCCGGTCAGGTTGTCATTATGGTGCCCACCATCAAGTACAAGCCTTCGGCCAACTGCGCCTACACCCAACTCATCAGCAAGATCAAGGGCGTGCCCCTGCAGACGGTGCTCGACGACGAGCTGAGCACCACCAATTCGCAGCACTCCGGTGGCACGGCCTCGCCCACGCCCAGCTGCAGGTCGGAGGGTCACAGCCAGCAGGGGGAGTTCACCCCTGTCCTGATCCGCTACAACGGCAGCACCTTCACCCACGAGGCGGAGGAGGTGGACTCTCCGGTGCCCGAGGAGGAGAACGCCAACGATGGGCCACCGCAAGTGGAGCTGCTGAAGAACACCAGTGCCCTGGCCCTGGCCCAGAACTACAGTTCGGAGAGCGAGGATGAGCCGGGGGATGAAGCAACCACCGCGACTGAGAAGGAGAAAGAGAAGGAGGCTGAGAAGGAGCCGCCAGCACCAGAGCCGGTGCTGACGTTTCCCGTGCCCGATGAGAGCCTCAGGACGATCATCGACAAGACGGCCACGTACGTGATCAAGAACGGACGCCAGTTCGAGGAGACGCTTCGCACCAAGAGCGTTGAGCGGTTCGGCTTCCTGCTGCCGCAGAACGAGTTCTATCCATACTACCTGTACAAGGTGACCAACGACGTGGATGCCGCCTCCAAGGAGGAGAAGACGCGCAAGGCGGCCGCCGTGGCCGCAGCGCTCATGAGCAAGAAGGGACTCAGCTTTGGAGGAGCTGCAGCTGCGGCAGGGAATGCAGCAGATAAGGGTAAGTCCATTCAAGAAGATAATTTCTGTTATCTGGTTATCATTTAAATTTCTGCTCCATCTACAGCTCCCGTTTGCTTCTCGATACGCGGCCGTGACGAGCATGGTCCGCTTTCGGCTGCTCTGACTCAGGAGGCCAGCGACGAGGATGAGATCAAGGCTGGTGCCGCGGCTGCGGGCAGTGCGGAGCCGGTCCGTGGCATGCCGGACAGAGTGCAGCGTGCCATTAAGCAGGTGGAGACGCAGTTGCTGGTGAGGAGCCAGAGGGCTGCCCCCATATCTCCGCAAAAGGAGCGTCAAGGTGTGTATTCCCCCAATGAGCATTCCAGAGACAGCAGACGATTAATTGTGCCCCATCTATCTGCAGCAGAGGAGCGAGTCAAGGATAAGCTGGCGCTGATTGCGCGCGACAAGCTGAACGGGATGGTCTCCAAGGAGAAGCAGCTGCAGCTGGAGAGGAAGCGCAAGGCCACGGCCTTCCTCAATCAAATCAAAGGTAAGTGCCACACACCCACCCCCAAATCCCCACCCAGTCCCAGTCACTAATTTAATCGGTGTTTCAGGTGTTTCAGCCGGTGCCGTGGCTAGCTCTGCTGTGACCAGCGCAAAGGCGACTCCCTCCGAGGAGGCCGGTGCTGCCGCTGCGGGGGACAGCGACAACGAGTCCAACGAGTCCGTGCGCTCCATACCCATCACCTACTTCGGCCCGGACGACGACGAGGATGAGGAGGAGGAGCAGAAGCAGAAGGAGAAGCCGGAGAATGACAGCCAGCAGGACGACGATGAGGAGGAGGAAGAGGACGGCGGGGATCTGGAGAAATACAATCTGCTGAACGACGACAGCACGAACACCTTCACCAGCAAACCACCGCCGCCCCCGCCACCAGTACAGACCGCAGCTGCTCCTCCGAAACCGATTGCCTCCGCGCCAGCATCCGCCGTGCTACTATCGGACGATGACGATGTTCAGCTGGTACCAGCTGCCTCGCCTGCGCCCCGCGGCACGTCCAGGACCTCGCGCCACCGAAAGACCCACCGCAGGAGCAGGAGTCGCAGCGTCAGCGCCAGCAGCAGCGAGTCCAGCCGCAGCTCCAGTCGGCGCAAGAGGCGCAGGGCCGTCGAGGAGGTGTCTGCCAGTGCCAGGAAACAGCGGCGACGCCGCAGCCAGAGTCGCACCTCCACCCGAAGCCAGCGCGTGCGTCAGAGCCAGCCCCAGAGCCACCGCCAGAAACAGCGAAGCAGAAGCCGGCACAGAAGTCGCAGCCCCAGGCGCCGACGAAGCCCCATCCGTAGCAGGAGCCGCTCAAGAAGCAGTCGTAGTCGCAGTCGTAGCTCCAGCAGCCGCAAAGATCGACGTCAGCGCCAGCAGCGGGAGGAGTCGCGCCACAACCAGCGACGCTCGCCCAAGAAGAGCCACAAGCGTCACAAGCGGCGCCGACGCAGCAGCTCCCCCTGACGCCGATTCCCCTCAACTCGTTTTGTAGCTAACTTTTAATGGTATCAAATAAACACGTCGATTATTTTTGGAATATTGTAACGGGCCTCCTTTTGTGGGTCGCTTTTCCCCTCGGGGTGTTGTTATAGCATGGCTCCCCTTTTAAGCATTGGATCCATATACCATATAAATATGGATCTGTCTTGGGTAGCAACACTTTTTTACTCTTCAACGGAATATAACGAGACCTACCCATTGAGTACAAGTAATTCCATAATCTGTAAATAATCCCCCTGGACACTTTGTACTTATCCCGAGACAAACATTAGTTAATTACGCCTGGATGCGTAGATCCAGATGATTAATTCTTGGAATTTGCATTAAATTAACTAACAAAATAAGCTACTAGTCATTACAATTGTCCAGATAAAGTCAAAGGTTAATATACATACATTTATGTAATATGCCAGCAAATTGGTCTCAGATTTATCTGTAGCGGCGACGATTCACAGATTGTTCTTCCCCTTTCTGTTTCGTTCTCTTTCGCACGTAGCTCTCCAGCGGAGCCATAAAAGACCGCTGGCCTCTGACGCGGCAGTTCAGTCCGCTCTGAAAGCTCTCGCCATGATGTCTGTCCGCTGGAACCACCTTTGCCTCGGCCTGTTGCTGATCCTCTGCAGCCTTCTGGCCCTGACCACTGCCCAGGTGCCCATCAGTAAGATCTGCCTGCTTCTTTCTCCCCCCCACCAAACACTCAGCTTGCCCCTCTCTTGCAGCGCCGCGCGAGTGCCCCGCGAACGAGTCGTACCTGCCGTGCGGCCCCAGCTGCCAGACGGAGTGCGCGACTCTGGGCCAGCCCTGCCTCATACGACACATCCGCTGCCCCGATGGCTGCTACTGCAACGATGGCTACGCCCGCAACGCTCGCGGCGCGTGCATACCCCAGAAACAGTGTCGCAAGTGAAGGTACTCCACTCCACTCCATTCCAACTGAAGGGAGAACAATCGAAGCAACAATAAAGCCCCTACTGGGAGGATGATCCATGGCATTGATAAACAGCTGTTTTTAATTGTTTTGGTTGCTTTTGTTCGCTCGTTACTGCGGAATCTGGTTTTGGTTTCAGTTTCAGGTTCGTAAATTAGTTCAGTTCTATTTTTTGTTTGCTAATTAAGTGGAGTATGCTTGAAACTGTAACGATTAAGCCACAAAAACTGTTCTGCTCAAACTTCGGGAGAGTGAGAGCAGAGGGAAGAACTTGTTGCTGTTTTTATGTTTAGTAATTGAGTGCCATGTGCTGCTTAAACTGTATCTAATCAGCTGGTGCTGCTCAAACTGCGCTGCGTTCTAGAGCAGCAGAGAGAGAGAGTGAGAGCGCGCGCGATAAGCATCTGTTGTGCCAAGAAAAACAGTTGATTGTTGATCTCTGACGAGCAGTTCTAACAAAACTGCGTAGAACCTGATCTGATTTCCGATAAATCGAAGCACATGCTCGAACAATGCGTATCAGACAGGTAAATATAGCTGGTTTTAAGTTTTAAGCTGTCGTCGGACCAATTTTCAGGCCCGCAAAAAAGCAAAAATCACATCCAAGGGGTTGGTTGTAGAGTGGAGAGGGGGGGTTACTTTGTGCTCCTCTCAAAAAGCAAAGTAAATCCCGCTGCCTAAGCCGCGCCAACGAGTGGAGGCCGAGACGGGCACTGGTACGGGTACGGGTACGGGAACTGTAACTGGGCTTCCCAGTAGCCGCTTCGATGACAACACGCAAAATGTAAATGTTTGCTGTCATTGAGTCGAAAATGTTGGCAGGGGCCCAAACCAAACCGTTAATAAACTCTCTAGGTGCAGGAGGAGATGTAGAATGGAGAATGTAGGATGGAGGTGGGGAGGATGCTGAATGCTGGGCGCAGAGTGCAGAGGAGGGAGACAGAGAGAGAGAGAGACGAACGCGTGCTCGATTTACATGAGCAAACATGACGGCGGGACACCAAACCACCCACGCTCGAAGAGCCAGAAAGAAAAAACCCAGCAAGAAGGTCCCCCATTGATACCCTAACCGAGTCACATAATATAGTCACAATAGTCGCACGATTTAGAACATTAAACATAGGATTTCCTTCTTTGCGGTGCAAACGTCGCGTTAGAACCGAGCTACACCTCCTGGTCTGTGAGGGTATGATGAAAAGAACTCTGGGCGCTTGGATTTGGATTTGCAATGCAAACATGTGTGCCGCTGCCGGTGTGCTGCTCACTCCTACACCATGTTATGCCGCTCCAGCACCCCCATGCCCCACCCCAACCCCAACCCCCACTCCAACCCAAACCAATCCCCTTTGTTTGTCTATTTTGTTCGGCTGCCTCAAAGATGGAGCTTTTGAGAAATATTCCTCAAATTCATCGAATTTCCCCCTGGCAAAAAAATAAAAAAAAATTGGTCGTGTGTGTGCCCGAACAGGGGCAGGGGCAGGGGCGTGAGTGGCAAAGTGGGAGCGTGAGTGGCAGAGTGGGTGGGTGCGAACCTGCGGAAATTCAAACGGAATCAAAGCGAAAAGTTCGACAAAAAATCATCGAGCACTAAAAAAATAAGAATCGACAGCAAACACGGTGCTTGCTGTGTATGGATATCTGAATAGAGGAGCAGGCAGGCAGCGGCAGCCCCATTCCCCATGGACCCCATCATATATCAACAACGGCTGTCAGTCAGTCAGTCAGTCAATTCTGGAGTGTTTGGCGAAGGCACAGAAGGCATCGAATGGCAGTGGGACAGCGGGACAGAGGACAGGAGGCGTGCCCGCAAAAGCCAAAGAAAAGAAAGTAGAACCAAAGCAAAGACTGCCAGAGACTCTGGCAGTGAGAAGTGTGTGCCAAAAAATGAAAGAAACAACAACAAAAGTGAAAAGAGAAAAGAGTTTCTGTTTCTGTTGTTGGATTGAGGACGGGGACCCCAGCAAACACGAATAATTTGACTTTATCTAAGCGCCAGTGAACCGAAGCGCATTAGAAAGGGGCTCTGCCTACCCACAAAAAAAAAAAAAGGAAGGAAGGTAGGCAGGAAGAAGGAAAAAGGAGAGGAGAAGCATCACAATAAACGAAGGAAAGTGATGGAGGGCGAAGGCAAAGGCAGAGCTGGAGGTGCAGGAGAAACCCAACCAAGGGAGTTACAGTAAGTGCGAGAAACTGAGAGCGATTAAGCCAGCAGAGATTTAGGGATTCGATTTAGATATGTCCATCAACTCTACAGTGGCTAACATTTACACATTTTTCTAAGCCGGGGTTCTATATTGGGGCCCTGCATGCTGATATTTTCATGGCTAGAGAGTGCTTGCTCTCCCTCTCTCTCTCTCTGTTCTATAGAGTAGCTTAGCTTAACTGCACTCATTCTTTCTCTCTCGGAGTAGCTTAGCAGCACTCGTTATTTCTCTCTCGGAGTAGCTTAGCAGCACTCGTTCTTTCTCTCTCGGAGTAGCTTAGCAGCAACTGGTATAGTTTCATGTCTGGCATGTACCCAAAAGCGAGTGCAGCAGCTCTCTCTCGCTCTCTCCCTAGTTCGCTAATCAATGTGGATCTATTCGTGGAATTATGAGGATTAATGCCATATTTTCAGCCCAACAAAAGCCGAAAGAAGAGTGCAAGTTAATTCAGCCCCCAAGCCACTTTGGCACTTAAATATCTTTATTGATTGCAGCATAACTGATGGAGGGGAGTGAGGCAAATCTGTCCACATGAATATGCCTACGAAACTTTAATGGTTTTATGTGCCGGCAGAAATAAAGAAGTTTGTCAGTGCGGAGGCAGGAACCTGTGGGGCACTGGAGCAGGCGGAGGAGGAGCTGGTTCGGTTGTCTGGCTGGCAAATGAAAATCAATTTAATTGCGATGGCGATGGCAAATCGAATTAAGCTGTATAAAAAAAAAAATACAAGGAGAAATGCTTTAAGCTTGTGTGCCAGGCTGCAGGATATGTTTCTGCCCTGCCCAAGGGAGCTGCCTGCCTGCCTGCCTGTCTGTCTGCCACATGCAACCACAACAACATTGAGAATGTGGCAAGCAGCAAGCTGCATCGTTTGGTGTCGCCGCAAACGCATTCAATTGAATATATTAATGCAAATTAACCCATTAATGCCTGCCGATGTCATAGATGGTTGCACACGTCGAGCAGCAGGAGGAGGAGGAGGAGGAGCAGGAGCAGGAGGCACGGAGAATATACAAGTAGGAGGAATGGCTGGAGGAGGCGTTGCATGGCCGATGGCACTCTATCGATTCTCTCTCTCTCTCTCTCGGTTAAGTTTCGTTTTATTCTCTCTTCGTGGATTCTGGCAGAATATATTTCTGGGAATGCAGAAAATTATAATCAGCCCAGCAGCTGTGGGTGCATAAATCTGTGGAGTTCTGCTCTGATCGTAGTGCCAAATCATCTGCAAGGCAAGCATCGCATCAAGCTATAGTCGGTGCCCGTTTACAGTCTCTCTCTCTTTCTGTCTAGTGTCCTTGTAGATGCTGCTGTGGGTGCCTGAAGGGGAGTCCCCTCCCAGATGCTGCGCTGCCAACGTGTTAACATGGGGCACAACAATATTGGCCAGATGTTTCTGACGCCAAAAGCTCGTAAAACCAGCAACAAAACACTCGACAGCATTGCCACGCTCTTTTACACACACACACACACAGAGTCTCTGTGTCTCCTTGTCTCTCTGTCTCACTCTCACTCTCACTCTTAGTGTAGCTCTGCTGGCCACATTGCCTATTGCCCTCAATATGTGTCCTCTCTGTTTCGACACGCTCTGAACGTGGCCAAGGGCCAACGGGAATTGTCAACATTTTGTGCATCAAAACAGCATCAAAATCAATATGCAACCACCCAACCCCTCCTCTCTGGCCTACCCTCGCGCTGCAGCATAGCATGCTGAGGATCGTGTGCCCCAGCCCCCGGGGAAGGGGGGGGGGAGCAGCAGCAGCAGCAGCGTTGGCAGCTCTTTATAATGATTGCCATTGACTGACGGCAGGCATATCCTTGGCGCCCTATGACAGATATCAAGTTGTATGGCAATTGACGCGATGACATGTTGACATTTTTGCTTCATGCTCAACGTGCACATGAAGTGCAGAGAACACCCAGAGAGAACACCCACCCACACACACCCCCTGGCCCACTGCGTTGACCAGTCCAGCCGCCGCCCCCTCAGCACCCACTCGGCACCCACTCGGCACCCACTCTGCACCTCTGTGCATTGTCGGTGCCTGTATTACAAGTGTGCTGCAGCAAAATGCAATTGTTTCCGTCCTGCAGCAGCAAAACAACGGAAGAGCCAGCCCCAGCCCCAGCCGACACCCCAGCCGACTAAGGGATACCCATTAGGGGGCACTGCTTTAGAGGGTAGCAGGAGCTTCGCCTGATAGCTGCTGCTGCTTGCCTGTGAGTGCAGCAGGCTCGGGCTTGGGCTTGGGTTCCCTTCAATGCAGGGCTCAATGGCAATTCCAGTTGCATTCATTTTGTTTCTGGTGTCTCCCCTCCCCCTCTCATCAATCCTCCCCTACCCCTGCACATAAAGTATTTGGCTTTTTGTTGTGTGTGCTGGTGTGTGTGCTGGTGTGTGTGCTGGTGTGTGTGTGTGCTTGGTGTATGCCTCTGGCCAAAAGTTTCCCACTGCGGTTTGTTTTAGTTATTGCATTTCTTTGCTCGTTGTTTTGCTGTGCCATTTGCCATTTGGGGGGTGCCATGCAGGGCGGGGGGTTATGGTGTTTACGGGGGGAGAGCGGGAGAGGGTAACCCGGAGCTGTGAATTGTTAATCCAAAAAAAAAATGAATTTTCGCCACATTTCTCATTTGGACTTTGCGGTCTGCACTCCATTTCAATGTGCTGCTGCCACACGCAAAGAGCGAGGGGGGCGGGGAGTGTATGATGCTCCCCCCCCCTGATAACTCTCATCCGATTTTCACTGGGATTAGCCTTTCCATCGCTCGCTCGTCGCTCGTCGCTCGCCGCTTTCTGCATGAATTGATTTTGCATTCTAATTAACATTTCTGTCTGTCCGTTTGGTTTCTTTTTACCCCGACATATCAGTTATGAAAATCTCACTCATGACGGACGACAGACAGACAACAACAACAAAATAGCCACAATTCGGTCAGTGCAAATTGAATAACAAAAATGTTGCATCTGGCAATGAGGGGTCTGGCATAAAAAGTGAAGCAAGCTTCCATTAAAAGTGAATAATCGATGGGCTCTCTGGAGGGTCTACTCCGGGGATACTTACTGTTCGTTAATTGCCAGTGAAAGACTATTAAAGTAGCTGCGAGTAGATATATCCCAGTGGGGGATGTGCTGTCCCGCCCTGAGTGCTGTTTGCCCCTTGTTGGCTGTAACTTTAAGCCTTTGCCATGGGCTAACCATTGAATATCGCTCCCTACTTATGGGCATAGGTAGCTTATAATAGCTTTTGTGCTTCCAATTGCCTTTTGCTCGAGTGCTGCCACTTGGAAGTGCCTTCAAATGGATAGGAATATGCGCGGAATATACATGCATCAGACGACATATGTAAGTGCAGTGATTCAGCTACTGTTCTGTTGCAGGTACAGCAGACAGAGGAGACAGCAGACAGCAGACAGCATACAGATGTGTATAGTTATGATATGTTTAAGTTGCACCTCTCCCTCTCTGCCACTCTGCCACTGCTCTGCCTCTGTCTCTCCATGCATGTGTGAACGATGTTTGCTTTTGGCCACAAACAATAATGGCGTATGGCGTATGGCTGCCTGGCATGGGCCGCAATTTGCAGCGTTGGCATTGCTTGATTATGAAATGAATTATTTGCATTAAAGTGCACAAAGCACACAGCACAGAGGCACAGTGCAGGCAGTCTGGGCAGAGACACTGAACTGATTTCAGGACCCATAAAGGCTTTGCCCCTGTTTCCTGCCCAACTATAATATCATCAGCGACAGCAGCAACATCATCATCATCATCGGAATGCAAGCTATGCTAATTATCATTAGCTAAACGCATCGCACGCATACACAGAGTCAGTGGCAGGGGCAGTGGCAGTGGCAGGGGCAGTGGCAGGGACTGGGCACAGGCACACAGTCAGCGCCTCCATAGCGGAAACGGAAACGTTGAAAAAGCAATTGGCAAATGGCCTCCTGCTCCTGCTCCGGCCCTCTGCCTCTCCCTGCTCCACCACTCTCCGCTTGTGGTGCTTCGATTTATTGGCAGCTGCAATTAGCTGGGCGCCAACATCCGTTGGAGCTTGCCAATTGTTTGCGGGCTTCCCGTGACCCCTTTCTGCCTGTCTCTCTCTCTCTACTGCTCTCTGGCTGTCCTTTTGCTGGCCTGCTTTTGCGAGAGAACAGCCACAAGTGTTTCAAAGGCCAAAAGGGCGACGGGGAAACCCCATCCAAATATTGACTATGCGACGGGTGATTGTGCGCTGATGGATCTGCCCATTTGAGGGGGAATAAATATGGATTTCCTTCGAGATAGTCCCCCCTGTCGAAGTTTTCTTTATTTTATATGCTTGCTGATCTGTTCTTGTTCGCTGCATCCATTACCTATCCCTATCCCTCAACCTCAACCTCTCTCTGTCTCTTTCTCTGTCTCTGTCTCTGTACCTGTACTCCCTCTTCCGCTCCCTCCTGCCAAAAGACTCAACGTCTGAGAAATGTGCAAGAAATTACGCTTTGTAGCTAATTGCAAGGGAACCCTAATGCACAGCAGCCATTAGCCACAACCCCGCCCCGCCCCTCGTCAGCACCCCTCACTGACTGATCCCCGTTTCAGGCACGCCCACCCGAATGGCTCCGCAATTAATTGGTTTCATTTTTTTAGCAATCCTTTGCTGCGCTTCATTTCAATTTGCGCAGCGAGTCCTGTGTGGCTCCTGCCCGCCCGCCCCGCCCCTCGCCTCCTGCCTGCTGCCTGCTCTTTTGGGTGCACTTTTTTGGGGCGCGGTGGGGAGTTGTTTATTGCACTTGCAACATCCGCTCCGCTGCAAACGAAGATAAATTGTTACTTTTCAAGTTGTGCTTCTTTGGGTTTCTGTTGCCATTTTTCCGTTTTTCAGTTGCAGTTTTGGGGCAGCTGTTGCTGTTCCGCCCCCTCCCCCTCCCCTTCCCCCTGGAGATTCTACTTTATGAACGGTCGGAATATCCAGAAGGTAGGCATTAATCCTGTGAGCATTCCAGCTTACTTTTTCCTGCCCCGATGGATGGCTGCAAGCATCTGCCTGCTGAGAGGAATGGAATGTGGAGCAGGGGGCCAAATGAGTGCCGCCTTTGGCCGCAATCCCCCCGACTGATTAGGCAGCTGATTAAACCCGATCCCTGCAGCGGGGCACACAAAATTCACATGATTTGCCGATTAGCCAGCCGAAGCGACAGGCCCGTGGGGCTGGCTTATCGCTGGGCAGCCATTACGATAGCGATGCGTAGCGAGAGCCACGCACTTCCCGGATCGAGCGGATCGGACTGGAGTTCAGCTAAATTGAAACAGTTTTGAACCAGTGTTCCAGCCATTAAGGCCCACCGATGGGACACCGATGGCAGGCAGCAGAAGGACTTGGAGCCAAAAAAAAAAGATAACCAACCATTGATAGGGTTAATGGCGTTGCTGGGGCCAATCTGTTGTGTGCACTGTCCCACAGTTGTGGGGGCAGTGGCAGGGGTGGCATTATCAGTGCAATTAGCTGCTTTTATTGAGTACAATTAAATGCTTAGTACTTAATATAATTAGACGGAGTGCTCAGTGCAAGTTGCAGCATGAAGGCAAATATCTGTAATGGGGTTTTTGGGCCAGGTAGTACCCTGGAACTTTGATTAGCCAGGGGATCAGCACACCCTGAAGCACACTCATGGCTGCCCAATATTCAGCCAATTAAGGGACAGTGATCGGAGGCCTCTCATTGGCCCTTCTAACTCGATTCCTCTGCCTGTATATCTAATGGAAATGCCACGCGAATGCAGTCGCTGGGGGGAGCATTTTATGGATCGCTTTTCATTGCTTTTCAGCAAAACAGTTCTGTGCCTGCGCTGCTGATTATTGGGAACGATTTTGTTTACGCGAGTCTTGTATAAGTTTATTGAATGGAAATCGCCGTGTGAAGACGTCAGAGATGCAAATACAGCGAGCGGCGAGGGTACCACGGAGAGTCCACTCACTCTGCCAGAGGGTTTGCACAGAAGTTTGCAGGGCACGAAATTATTTATTAGTTTTTCTTACATGGAACATGGACTGTTCCAGCCTCAAAACTTTCCAATTATCTCCGCGTGTGTTTTATTTATTTATTTCTTCGCCCAACTGAAATATAACTTGTAGCGATTATCCAAAGGGGAGAATGGCAGTGTAATAGCCATAAAAATTGTAATAAAATTTAATAAAAGAATTTATGGGTTCCCCCACTTCGGGGCGCATTTATCTGTGTTGGTTTTTGGTTTTTATTTAGAACTATTCCAAATATGATTTTCCCACTGAAATGTTTATGAGTTCCCCTCTCTCCGATTCTCTCAGTCTGTCGGGTTGGATCACTGCCGTTGGATCACTCGCCTCTCACTGTGTGTTGTTTACCCGGCCGATTAGTGGCAGGCGGAATGGGCAGGGGACTGGGACTGGCGATTGCCTTAATCTCAGACATTGACCGCAGCCACCCCACCCCCTGTAGGCGTCGCCCAGCCCCTCCTCCCACACCACTGATAAGATAATGCCCGGGGCTTGGGGTCGGAATGGGAATCGGAATCGGAATCGGTGCTGCAGCGCTCTCCGGCGGGATCAGTCATGGAGAGAACGCCGAGCGGAACGCACTTGCTGCTGCTGGCCGTCGTCGGCTGGGGCTGCTGCCTGGCCCTGGCAGCGGGACAGCTGCCGGAGGTGGACCCGGCGACAGTCAAGGATCTGGAGGAGCTGGGCGCCCACTATCTGCCCGCGGGCTACACGACGGCGAACGTCTCGCTGGCGGATCTGCAGCGCCTGCTGCGCGCCAAATGCGAGAAGGCCAACCAGGCGCTGCCCGCGGGCACCGTCAATGCCACGGCCCTGGGCACGGCCATCGAGCAGGCGGCCGGCCAGCTGCTGGGCTGCCTGGGCGGACTGGCGAACGTCACCGAGATACTGGACGAGATTGAGAAGGCCAGCCCCAAGGGGGACCTGGACGTGGTCTTCGAAAAATACTGCCTGCGACTGCCGCAGGCCAAGGCCTGCCTGCGCGACTTCAACGCGGCGCTGCAGCCGTGCCTCACCCGCGAGGAGCGCACCCACAACGCCCTGATGCAGCGCATCACGGACAAGCTTCTGGAGTTTGTCTGCTACAAGAACGGCGACCAGATCGCCCTGTTCATCGCCGAGCAGGGGCCCGAGTGCCTGCAGGCGAGCCGCGACCACATCGCCACCTGCCTGAACACCACCTTTGCCGGCTACCTGCCCCAGGTGGGGCAGCTCTCCTCCGAGCACGTGGCCGACCTGCTGCCGGAGCTCGTGCTGGGCCCCCGCCAGTGCGTCGACCTGCACGACTTCGAGACCTGCACCGTCCGCCAGCTGGAGCGCTGCGAGACCATCACGCCCAGCAACATCGTGGAGTCGATGTTCCGCTACATCCGCAAGGAGTCCAACTGCCAGCCGGCCGTCGACCGCGCCCTCCAGGAGCGCCGCCGGGCCCAGGCCCTCACAGCCCCAGACCCGGCGGCCGGCGGTGTCGCCTCGCTGGTGGCCCGCAGCCTCCTCCTGCTGCTGCCTTTGGCGGCTCTCCTCTAGCCGGACCACCGATTCTCCATGCTGTGTGTGTGTGCCATCTCGTCTGCCGCATCCTTTTACACTCCTTTCTGTTTCCCTTTCCTTTCCTCTGCTTTATTTTTTTTTTTTTTAATTTGATATTTTATAATTATGTTTAATAAACTTTCGCAAGTCGAGCGTAAGCCGCTTAACGGATTCCCCTGTTAACTTTGGCTGCGGGTCCGTGTCCGTGTCTGGGTCTGGGTCCGTGTCTGGACTCTGGGCTGTGGACTGTGGGTGCCGGTAAAGTGTTGAGCTGCATAAACACAAGCCTGAAATATGAGAGTGGTAGGTGGGAGGGTAGGTGGGAGGTAGGAAGTAGAAAGTGGGCGGTTGGCATTGGGGGTCACTGAGCCGCTCGGACCATATTGCAGGCCGCTTATCGGTCAGCAACAGAAGCTGAAGCTGAGGGAAAAGCAAAAGCAGAGCAGCGGGTCAGTCGTCTCCGGCTGGTTCTTATCGCCCCAGCAGTGAAACAATGGCGGGTGGGGGGTACAAAGAAGAGAGAGAGAGAGAGAGAGCGAGTGAGAGAATATAAGATGGAGAAAAGCTATGGGTGGGGGGGAGGTAGGCACAAAGATTAAACTGAGCTCTGGGCACGGGGGATTCAAAACAGATTTTATTGTGGAAAGAAAAGAATAGGCACAGTTTGAGCATCACTGAGCACAGCTTTAGCATCACTGAGCACAGTTTTACTGAGTTGAGTACAGTTTTATCAGAACTGAGCACAGATTTATCATCACTGGTCACAGTTTGAGCAGTATTGATCACAGTTTTAGCTGAACTTAGCACAGTTTTATCTGGACTGAACACAGTTTAAAGTGAAATGATCACAGTTTGAGCTGAACTGATCACAGTTTTATAGAACTGATCACAGTTTTATAGAACTGAGCACAGTTTTACAGCACTGTGGGCAGTAATAATTCACAGTTGAAGTCGCACTGGACATTGGTGGCCATTTTCCCCACCCCCCTACAGCTATGGATTGGACTGAGAGTGCCTCGTCACCCTCGTAAATCATAAAATCCATGAGTAGCCCAAACCAAACCAAACCAAACTGAACCCACAGAAGTATTTATTGCATTCACGAATACCCTTATCGAATGGGGGGGGGGCAGCAATCACGGATCAATGCTGCTGCTATCATGTGGCATTTGTGGCAGCTCATGGAATATGATCTCTGCCATGTGTCGCCTCCATCTCCAAATATTTTGCCTAACAGATAACTCACAAGATCATTCACGGGAATAAATCCCATGCAATCTCGCCTGCTCTTTGGGGCTAAAGTTCTACTGCTCCCAGTCATGGCAGTGGTACCCACTGTGCAGGGTGTATCACACACACACACAAACACACGACAAAAAAAATGTCGCATAAATCTTAGGGCGAACGGACAGACAGCGGAAAAAAAATGAAACCGCAACTGTCATCATTTCACAGACGAGTGCGGCCCAAGCGCAGAGAGATTCTAAGGAGCGAGAGAGGGAGAGAGTCCAGAGACTGGACAACAACGACGAGGAGCAGCAGCAGCAGCAAGCCCTATGCTCATCCTGATTCGCTTTATTGGTGGGTTTTGGGCTAGGCTGGGGCTGGGGCTGGGGCTGTGGTGTTGGCCATTTGACAGCAGACGAAGCGTGAAATGAAATGGATGGAGTCTTAGTTCGGCTTTCGTCCTGCATTCGTTGCTCGTTTTCAGCTGAAACTGAGACGGGGACTGGGACGGGGACTGGGAAGAGTTTCCTACTTCCAATCAATATGGTTTCATTGGTGGCTCTGTGGCTGCTTGGCTCCCTTTGGCTAGTTAGCCAGTCAAAGTCTTTGGCTAACAAGTCATAAATGTTACAAACTTAATTAGGAGCTGCAGCTGCAGTTGCCTGAGACGCCTGCCTCCTCCTCCCCTTCCCTCCTCCTGCACGGCACGGCACTGCACTCGCCGCTTCCACTTTATTATTGATGTGAAAAATGCGGAAAATGAATGCGTTTCCGGTACTTTTCGCGAGTTGGCAGCTAAATTGCAACGGAACGGCCATGAATCATTCCAGTCCGAATCCAAGTCCAAGTCCAAGTCATAGTTGAGTCCTGCGACTTTCGCAGCTCCCCCCCCCTACCCCCTACCCCTACCACCAGCCCATTCAGCGGCTTGCAGCAGACAAACTTTGTACGTGCCACGCGAGCAATTGGCAAAGTGCTGCTTGCCCCTGGCCTGCCACTGCCTGCCCCACCGGACAAAAGGCGTAACTCGGGGCGGCACAACGGATGGGGTCGAGGGGAGGTTGGGTCTTAAAAGTTGGCTGGCAAATAATTGCATGTCATTGGCCAAATTATTGGCCCACGATGGGGTGCCGGGCGGTGCCGCGGGGAGGGGGCGATAAGCGAGCCAGAGTGTGGAAGGACTGCATTGCGAGCGGAACAAAAGGCAACTGAAATGGCCCGGGCAAATAAAAACGAAGGAAGCCCAGGGCAGCGAAAAGATAGATCTCAGATTTATGCTGGAACTCTGTCCGCTGGAAGAGACAAAAGCCACGAGAAGAAGATCATCATGATCGGCCATTTGTAGTCCCTGAAGCTGATTCCCGAGCGAAGCTTCCCCCTTGGGGAATCCTCGCAAATAGCTTGGCAGACAGATCACAGATCTGGACACCTGGAGCCAGGAATTTGCAGTGCCTGAAGCTTGCTCTTGTGGCCTTTCTCAGCCTCAAAAGAGAGTAACGTTTCGGGGGCAAAGCCACCGCAAATATCCCCCAAGTTTCCTTGGTTTATTTTGGAGGGGAGGTGCCTTCTTCTATGCACTTTATTGGGTGGCAGATTCCAGGGAAGGGCAATAAAAATGGAAATTACGAATTTCCACAGAGCGAGAGTTGGGTGGGGTAGTGGGGTAGTGGGGTTGGGGGGGGTATAACTGCAGTCTGCCAAATTTAATTAAATATTTCAATTTTGTTTCCCAAAAAGCTGCCATTGCCATTGCCACAACTATCTCTAATTGTGCACGCATTCTGCATGCCCCACCCCCCCTGCTGCCACTCTCTAGGGGGTAATGCAGGAGGCAGTAGAGACAGATGGCAGCATGCCACCTGAGGCGTCTGTGGCTGCTGGAGACGCACGCTTCAACGCTCATTTGCAAATGTTTGTCTACTTTGGTGCGGTGTGAAAAGCGTGACGAAACGTGTGGAAGGGTGGGCAGGGGGGGGGGGGGTGCGTAATGAGGGGCAAGAAAGGGGCGCAGCTGCGGCGGCCCGCTGGCAAATTGCAGCAGCAGCTCTGACTGCAGCCTCTGCAGCAAGTGCGAGGGGCCATAAAGAGGCAGGCAACAGGAGTACTAGCCTGAGTCTCAGTGGCAGTGGCAGCTGCAGCTGCAGGATATCCCCGACACCTTGTAACGGAGGCTGATGGGCCAATAGCCGGATTCAGGCAGTAGACAGAAGGCAGGGGCAATGGTGAAACGGAGACTCATTGAATTTATTCGATTGATTATCTGTTTCCGCATCGATTTGAGCATTCGATTGCACCTGCCAATCAATGGATCCACTATCTATTTGCAATCATTCAGGCATACTTTTGCAGCGTTATCCCCACACATGCCACATGCCCGCACACAGACATGCCACGCCACGCCACGCCACGCCACGCACTTTCATCGGATTCGGCATTGGGTTGGTTTGTTGGGTTTTGTGGTGTCACCTCACCTCTCAACCACCCACCCACCATAGACACATTGAGCGGGAATTCCTCTGTTCCCCTGTCCACACACACACACACACACATACACATACACACATACACTTCACACTTTGCCACACTTTGAGGCAGCTTTGTCTGGAGGGAGCAAGAGATGGAGTCCTGCCTGCCTGCCTGCCTGCCTCCCTGTCTGTCTCTGCCCCGTCTGTGGGTCTTACGCATGACTGTCTGTGTGTCTGTGTGTGTGTGTGGCAAGGCTGCTGCGTGTATGTGTGTGTGTGTGTGTGTGTGTGTGTGTGTGGGGACATGGGGAATATGTGGCATCCACAAAGTACGTATACTTTGGGGTCTAATTTGCGGTTGCTGGCGCAGCTCAATTTACAAGTGAGAAATTAAGATGTCGACAAAACTTTGGCCCAAAACACCTTGCCAGGGGGGGGGATAAAGATACAGAGATACACAGAGAGTGGAACAGTGAAACAGGAAAAACCGCCCAGGCAAAAGTCTCAGCGCACCACAAAGTCCTGGCTCCTGGCTCCTGGCTCCTGGCTCCTGGGTCCTCGCGTTCTGCCGGCCTGCCATTCCTCAGTGAACTTTGCACTCGTGCCGCACTTTTTCGTGTTGCCTCCAATTTGGTGTTTTTCTGGACACCTGCTCCGCTTAACCCTTGGCGCCGGCAGAGTTGTTGATGCGCTTTTAATTGCATCAAGTTGCACGCCACAAAAAGCAGGCGGCAGCAGCACACGAGCTACTTCTTACGGCGGGCATTATACACTGCAGAAGTTCGCCAGTCAGCGCCGTCACCTTCAATCAGTCAACGCATTCCAGCGTACTGCGTGGCAGATACAAGTGGTACGCCCCAGACCATCGACTCGACTAGGGGATGCGCATTGCCAGCCCAGCAGCCCAGCAGCCCAGCATGAGGGACTACTATCGAGATGTGGCCACTGCTGGGCTTCGTTTGGGGCAGCACCAGCACCTCGAGCGACTGTACCATGCAGCAATGAAACGAGCCCTGAAGTGGAATTTGCTCCTGTATCCTGTATATCTCCTGGTATTTATATCTCCTGCCTACTGCTCTCTGGATCGCCTTCCTTCGGGAGCATCTGCAGCTAAAACTGCACTCGAAACGGAGCTGATTGGCGTCTGCTTTCGTGGATCGTAGGTCGACCTCTACGCTGCCTGCTGCATTCCTTCTCCAAGTTCAAGCAAGTGCAATCCGAGCTTTGGCCAGCCCTCCGCTATACAGGGTATGCTTAAAAAAGCACTGCCACTGGCTGGCTGGGGAAACTTTCGCTGGGGTATGCCATGCCTCCGGTTCCGCTGGATCATCCTGGCCTCAGCCTGACTCCTGCCGGCTGCTCCTGCTACTGCTCATGCTCCTGCTCGTGGCGTAACTAGCCTGATGTGAATTTGATTAAAACTGCACATTAAATCTGTTGACAGCTGTCGTGTGGTCTGGGGGGTGGGGGGGGCTGGGTAACCAACCGCTGATGTCATTAAAGTCACCCTTCGTGCGGTTCTCTAAAAATTATGCAAAGACACTTGACGCTGTCGCTGTGGCTGTGGCTGTGGCTGCCGCTGACGATGGTGGTGGGGCATGGAGCTCTATGTGGATGCCACATACGCAACGCAACGCAGCGCAACGTCAGCGATTTTACGCTGAAAATGGCGAATACTGTAAACAGACTCGCGTTGCTCGTTGCTCGTTCATTGCGGGGGTTTTTTTTTGTCTGCTTTTTCTTTTTTTTTTTTTGGCGGTTTCACCCATGGCAGCCACCACCACGGCCAAACCCTTCGACTAGAAAAACTTTATTAATTGCGACAGTAAAGTTTTCCACCGCAGCCGCCGCAGCAGCAGCAGCGGCAGCCCCATGCCACATGCCCCACCATCGCCCCCACCCGAATTCCCCCGTGACAGCTATTAAAATCGTTTGGTGTTTAACTTTTTCGTGGCGCCCCCGAAAAATATTTGATTTCATTTTAGCATATTTAATTGCAGTGCCAAAAACTGTGCTGGGGGGGAGGGAATGTACTAATGAAAGTTTGCCGGGCAAAAAGCTGATGAAGGAGGCGCCAAAATGCTGCTGAAAGAGGCGCCAAAATGCTGCTGAAGGAGTGGCGAAAATGCTGCTGAAAAATCAAAGAAAAATCCCGCAATAATGCTTTAATGATTCACTTTCCCCCTGCAATAAAGTAACCCAGTTGTGGGTTAGAACAAAACTAGATTGATCCTCCGATGGAGCCTAGCGCTGAGTTTGGCGTCGCTGCGACATTTGTTTGGCCTTCTTCGGGACGTAGGTGGACATAGGCAGGTGGGCTGTGCGGCACAGCTCGTACATCTGCCGGTACATGACCCTCATCGTCGGATAGCTCGCAAATGCTGCTCAGGAAACTCCGCGTCAGAGCTGGAGTGGTGACCCTCGAAGTATTCCTGCCTGGACGCTGCTGCGGAAACCTCTACGGCTGAGGTTTCTGTGTCACACTCCGAGGACTCTTCGGGGTGCGCTTCCCTGGCAGATGCCCCCCACAGACGGCGGGCCAGCTGGGCCATGTAGCTGGTCGGGGTGCGGCCCTTGCTTTTCGAGTGAATATCAATTGGAAACTCATAGGGACACACGGGCGAAGGTAGTGGCGTCAGCTTCCACCTGCCTGCGGGAGGCCTGTCGCTGGCTGTGTGTGTTTTCTTGGCCGAGTGCTTCGTGGGGACGCCACTCCGAAATCGCTCAAAGCTTTGCAAAAAGTTGCGGTTCGAGGTGTAGGAAGCGGAGCGCTCGGGTGGTGCAAGGCGCGAGGCGTGCACCAAGCGGCTCTGCCAGGTGCCGGCATCGTCCTCCCCATAGATCATCCGATGTCCGCGCCTGACTGGCGCGGATGGATCTGCCTGCTGCCTTCTGGCTGCTCTTTGGGTTTGTTCTGCGCACAGCGCGGGGACCGCCTGCCAGATCAGAGCGATCTCCCTCTGGGATTCTGCTGCTATCGGCCCATCGATGCCTGGTGGATACAGAAGACAGGGCTATGGATTAATTAAGTAGGCAGGCCATCGAGCAGCCATAAGGGTGAGCTGTGCGTGGAGGGGGTGCCCTCAGAGGTCAGTGGTTATTCGAGTCGAGTGCTTCAAAACTCGATTTGATTACACGGATGTAATCAGAGTGCCAATCAAATGAAATTATTTACGGTTTAAATGCCAATTGTCAATCTCTAATTGTCAATCAATTGGACACGTAGGAGGAGGGGCAGGGGGTGGTTGGTTGGTTGTGGTTGTTTGGTTGTTTGGTTGGTTGGTTGGCTGTGGCATGTGTGGCATGCATAAATTGATAGAATTACAGAGAGCAATTCAACTGTGAGATGATTCTGTGGCATGTACTTTTTACACCCATCCAACCACACACCACCCCTCACTCCCACCCCCGTAAGTATTTGGCAAGAAAATAAACTCAATCTGTGTGCAGGGGCCATGCGGCATGGGGCACGGAGCATGGAGCATGAGGCTGAGTGTCGGATTAGGAGGCAGGACCAAGTTTCCAATAGTTGCAATTAAGTGCAACATTTTGGGGTTTTGTTTGCATGTGCCCCACACACATTCCCCTCTCTCTCTCTCTCCCTGTGTGGGTGTGTGTGTGTGTGTGTGTGTGTGTGTGTGTGTGTGTGTGTGTGTGTGTGTGTGTGTGTGTGTGTTTTGGGGTTTATTCTGTGTGGCTGGCAAAAGTTTGGCCAACTCTTTTTGGGCGCTGTGGGGGGGGGGGGTGGCTGTGGAGCCGAGCAGAGGCTTAGTTTTTCAATTAGTTTGATGGCGGCGGTCTCATAAATTGTTGTCAAGTGTTTTTTGCACACCCTCCCGCACAACTTCTCCGGGGAGGAAGGAGAGCGAGGGAGGGCAAGAGAGGGAGAAAGAATTTATTGAATGCCAAGCATTCATTCGGTTTTTCGGCTCTTTCCACCCCCATCCACCATTCACGGATTCGATTGTGCCACTTGTCACACAGCTCCCTGCCCTTTCCCTGCCCCCTTCTGTGCTGCATTCGCCCCACCCAATCAGAAGTCAAATCAACTCTGGCCCCTTGCTTTTGCTTTGCTTTCTCCTCGATTCGGCTCTTGGACTTTTAAAACTTGTCTTACTTTAATTGCTTTTCACTGTTCACTGTTTCTGCGGTCGAATGGCCTACCTCCCCCCCCCCCCCAGTCCATCCACCATCCACTGCTTATCCCCCCCCGCCCACCCCCTCCCACTCGCCACTGTCCCACTTGACTGGCATTATCAGGCAAAGTCACGCCTTTTCGCCTTTCTACTTTTGCTACAATTCCACGTTTCCATTTCTACGTTTCCCCCTCCCCCCTTTAGCAGCAGGTGAAAAATGGAAAATGTGCTTGCACCCCCGCACATCCCCCCTCCTACACATATAATTTAAATGAAAACTTAAATAGAGACAGAAAAAGCCAACGAGCAAAGAGCACAGAGCACAGGAGAGAGACAGCGAGAATTGGACTCTTAATAAGGAAAATGCATTTGTGCCGAGCTCTTAGCCAGAGAAGTGCTCCAAAGGAGTGCGAATGCCACACGAAGAATCCAACCAAAAAAGCAGAGCAGCAGCAGAGCAAAGCAGAGCAGAGCGAAGCAGAGCAGAGCAGCGCAGCGCAGAGCAAAGCATGGCAAGCAGGGCGAAGCAGAGCAAAGCAAAGCAGAGTGTCTGTGGCATTTGCCAAATAGCTGGCAAAAGAAATGGAAACTCACAAAAGTATCCGAACAGACAGTGGAAACTCTGCGGCAAGAACACGCCACATGGAGCAGAGCAGTAGGGGGCTGTCCGCCCCCCCAGTTAGCGCTCACTGTACCACATCCCACACGTGCATATGTCTATGTACATACATATGTACATATGTGTATGTGAATGTAACTCAAGTGCAGCGAGTGACACCTAAACAGGAGAGCGACACGAAGCAGGAGCAGCCTGCGCAGCAATCGGCACAAGTGGCAGGATACCCTAGCAGGACGACGATAACCCAGCGCTTGGATTATCTTTGGCTTAAACTAAATATAAGCAAAGCAAAGCAAAGAAACAGCCTGTGCCCATGGGGAGCATAGTCCTGCCAAAATCCTGCTAAAAATACATATACCCCAATGGCCAGGAGCAGCAGCAGCAAAGGAAGGCAAAGGAAGGCTAGGAAAAGCGAGCAGGCAAATTCTCAGTTTTTCCTTGTAGCGGATGATGTGTGGCACTTGTCTCGAGACCAAGAGGCGTGCCTGTCATTTAACAGTTGCTGGCAAAGAGACCCCAGACGTCGGAGACGACACCCAGCAGCAGACGGCAAAAGGAGACGGTGGCTAAGACAGCAGCAACAGGGGAGGGGGTGGGGGTGGGTTCGTGGAGTGCTACAGCTTGAAGATGGCTTACAGTTAAATTATGCGTTAGCCCACGCTCTGTAGAATGACAGGGGGCAGGTGGCAGGCAGGGCAGGTGGCAGGTGGCAGGCGGCAGGCCAGTTGGCAGGTGGATGCCCAACTTGTGCTGACAGCACAAATGATTTAAATATTTGTCAAGAAAAGCAGTTGCAAGAGAAACTAAGCACGGTACAGGTGATGCCCAGCCCCCATCACCATCCGTACACCTGCCGCCCCCTCGCTTTCCCCTTTGCGATAGTTTTATTCCCAACAACATGAACAACCTCATCATCATCATTCGGATGTTAATTGTTGCTAGACAACAACTGCGAAGCAACACTGTAATAGAGCAGAGTGAAAAATGTGCGGTAATTGGTTTATGGCAAGCAGGAGAGTGGAGCGAAAGAGGGGGAGAGTGTGGAGGGGGGAAAACTCAAGGAGTATTACCTATAGTCAATAGAAATCAATACGGAATTATCAATATTCAGTATTCAAGCAAGAGCGGGGAGTTAGTTTGTTGCATCCAGCAACAGGGGAGACTCTCTCTCTCCTCTATCGTTTCTCTATCGTTGTGAGTATTCCCACGAAGGATGGTAACTCATCAGGCACCAAAAGGCTGTTTGGTGTTGTTGTTATTGTTGTTGTTGCAACGGCAACATTAGCCACCGCGATGGGGCAAACAAACAAGTGTGGAGCCTTTTGGGGCCACGAACAAACAACGAAGCGAAATTAGGTTTTTAGCGGAACAACAATGAGGAAAGGGGGAGCAAGTGGCAGCAAGGGGGAACAAGTGGCAGCAAGGGGGAGCAAGTGGTAGCAAGGGGGAACAAGTGGGAGGCAACTGCAGCTGGCAGCAGTTGAGGGATACTCGAAGCGGGGCATACCCCACAGATATGTGATGGGCTCTCATTGGAACAACATTTGTGGGAATGCAAAGGTGCAGAGCGAGGGAAGTTCTCCTCCATTAAGCCCCCTGGCTATAGCTATCAACGGCAGTTGAGTGAACTCTTTGCATTCGTAGGCAGCAAAACCAAAACAAAAACGAATCGAAAGTCGTGTCCATTCAGTTCAATCAACTCTAATTTGGAAGGCCAAAGGCAGGTCCTGTCTCCGACCCCTTCCCTGTCCCCGTCTGCCCCTGTGCATATGAAATGCAATCCACTTACCTGGCGGTCTCTCGCCTCAACGTATCGTATTCCAATTTGTCGCTTAAGCTTTTATTTTGTATTTAAGAGCAGAATAAATAAATGCGACAATTTGTGCGTGTGTGCGTGCGTGTGTGTTGCCTTGTGATGTGAGTTTCGACGAGAGGCTGATGCTGGGGGTTGGGGTATGCGCACCCCCCTTCCGAGTAAGTGCCCGAGAATGCAGCATCGATTGGGCTATTGCTATTTGCTATTTCTATTTCTATTGCAGGTGCTCTATTAATTTGTAACTGTTAAATGGGATTTGGTGGGTGTGGGTGGGGGGGGAACCCCTAACTGGGAACTAGTGTGTATCTGGGGTCTCCTTGTGGCCCTGCTGGGCCTACTTCTTCTTGCCGGAGTCGCCGCCCGACTCCTTCTTGGGCACGAGCTTGAGGCGCAGCATCTCCTTGTAGAGGTTGGAGCCCATGTGGCAGGGATTTTGGGAGACAATGACGCCGGCCTTCTCGAGCGCTTCCACCTTGGCACTGGCCGTGCCCTTTCCGCCGGCAATGATGGCACCGGCATGCCCCATGCGGCGACCGGGCGGTGCCGTCTGCCCGGCAATGAAGCTGACCACGGGCTTGGCCTTGCAGCCGGCATTGTGCTGCTTGAGGAACTCGGCGGCATCCTCCTCGGCACTGCCGCCGATCTCCCCAATTAGTATGATGCCCTTCGTCTCGGGATCGTCCAGGAAGATCTTCAGGCCGTCGATGAAGTTCGTCCCGTTGAAGGGGTCGCCACCGCACCCGATGCACAGCGTCTGGCCGAGCCCGGTCTTTGTCGTCTGCTGCACAGCCTCGTAGGTGAGGGTGCCCGAACGGGAGACGATGCCCACGCAGCCGCGCTTGTGGATGTCGCCGGGCATGATGCCGATTTTGCACTGATCCGGCGCGATGATGCCCGGACAGTTGGGGCCCAGCAGGCGCGACTTCTCCTGGCATTTGAGCATCTGCATGATGCGGACCATGTCCACCTGCGGTATGCCCTCCGTGATGGCCACGATCAGCCCGATCTCGCTCTCGATGGCCGCACAGATGCCCTGGGCGGCATTGCTGGGCGGTATGAAGATCACAGTGGCGTCCGGCTTCAGCTCCTTGGTGGCCTCCGCGACGTCCTTGAAGACGGGCTTGTCCAGGTGCTTGGTGCCGCCCTTGTTGGGCGAGACGCCGCCGACCACATTGGTGCCGTACTTGAGGGCCTCCTGCGAGTGGAAGGTGGCCTGCTTGCCGGTGAAGCCCTGCACCAGCAGCTTCGTCTCCTTGTTGATCTTCAGGTTCTTGGCCGTCTTGCTGTAATCCGACTTGCCGCGCACCAGACGCACCAGACGCAGCAGCCGCATGGGCGCCATCCAGCCGCTTGCTCGCCAATTAGCCATGGTCATGGTCATGGTCAAAGGGGGGTAAGCGTCTGATCTGTTCTATTCTATTCGCTATTCGCTGGTCAACAAAAAACGGAGTTCGCTTGTGGTCTTTTGTTGGATTTTGAGGGGAACGATCGAAACGAGAACCGAAAATGTTTGTGGCTGTCTGTCTGGTCTGTCGAACTGTAACTTTTTGACAGGACAAACAAAGCCAAAGCCAAACACCAAGCTAAGCTTCGAGTGCTACACAACACTGGAGGCGGGACCATCTGGCAGCAGTCGGCCGCTGCCCAGCACTGCTGCTGTACGGCAGCACAGACTTTCGAATCAGCTGGACCAGCAGCTGAGCAGCTAAGCAACATCGAAAGAACTTCCTTCTTGGCTTCTCCGTCTTTGAGACACGTTTGTCAGCATAAATCATCGACTGCCCGACCGCCGAGCGGCTTCTTTGCGTGCGCCCTGCACTAAATGACTTCATCGCAAACAAATAAAATGTCAATAACGTCAAAAGTGCAATAAATCATCGATGCAACCTCCCTGCCTGCCCGCCATGCTGCTACTTCTACTCTGCTGCTGTTGCTGTGGCTGGAGCAGCCTGAACGGGATGCATTGACTGACCGCCAACCCACGAAGGAAGGAAGCAACAACAACAAAAAAGAGAAGAGCGAGAAACGGAGCAGCAGCAGCAACAGCCACAGTCGGGGCACATTTCATTTGACGCTGAAATGGAAAATGCAAATTGTTTGCGCGTTGTACAAAAGCACGCAAAAATAGCGCCACACTCAGAGCTGCGTGGAGCGAGTGAGTCCAAGTGCAGTCCAGGAAACGGTAGCCAGAGCAGCAGCAGCACCGCAGCAGCAGTCCATTGGTTGGTGAAGTGACCGACCGACCCAGTGGGAAAACGGCACTCAGTCGAGTGGCTTTGGCACTCACGGATACCCATTAAAATCAGCTGTGGCTAAGTCCCAGCAGCTTCTGCTCAGCTCTGGCCTTCTTTCTGTGTGTGTGCAATCAAATTTCGCATTGGGCATCCCATCGCTGACTCCACATTTGCGCTCCATTTGCCCGATCCATTGGCTATGTGCTCTGCTCTGCTCTGCTCGACCTGGCCTCTGCCTCTGCTGCTTCTACTCCCTGCTCCTACTGCTGCTCCCTGCTCCTGTTCACTGCTCTTGTGCCCATCTTTATTTTTCCATGCTTTCATTTTTTGATTGCAAACAGCAAAAATTCACGATGTTGGGCGTAAATTTGTCCATGTGCTGGACCGGAATATATTGTCTGTACACACACACACACACATAAATGTAGCAGTGTACACGGGACTGGTACAGTGTGTACAATACATATATATGCCCACTTATCCAGATGTACATGGGGGTGGCCCCATGTCCTGTCCGTACATGCGGGTAAATATTTTGTGCATTTCTTTTTCCTTTTTTGGGTGGCGCTGACAATTTGCATTTATAAATTTCGTTTTCAATTTGAACCTATCCAAAAATAAAGCGAAAGAGAGAGTGTGGCAGTGTGGTGGGCTGTGTGGGCTGTGTGGGCTGTGTGGGGGTGGCTCTGGAGTCGAGTTCTCTGTCAGTGATTGTTGATTTTAATTTATTATTGTTTATTGATAAAATGTACGCATAGAATTTGCATAAATCGATAAATAATGCCCCCAGAGGCGTAATATTTTGATATTTATTGCATTTGTCCCACTCCCTGCCCCACTCTGCTCCACTTCCCGTTTCGTTTTGGATTTGCATTTGCTTTTGCTTTTGCTTTCAATTTCCGCAGAGCGCTTTACCCAATTAACTAGATTTTGTTTGGCTCTGTTTAGCCATCGGATCAGTGCTGACCAAAATGGTGGTCAGTCGCCCAGTGCCAGCGGAAATGATGTGGCCAGGCGGCGATCACAGCCAGCCAATCGAGTCGCAGCCACAGTGAAACTCCATCTCTAGTTCTAGTTGCACTTCCAGGCCAACTAATGGCAGTGCACTCGAGGCAGCATTCACTGTGCTGTGTGTGCTGTGTGCTCATTGATGTTCTCGCACTTCTATATTTTTTGTTTAGTTTTTTTTTCTTTTTGTCGCTGTTCTGTGGCCTGGACAGGACACCAAGAACTTTTGTTTATCGCTCGACACCGTCACTAAGCATGCGACTCCGCTCTCCACTCTCCGCTGTCTCCACACTCCGCTGTCTCCGCTCTCTCTCCACTGTATTCTGCAGCTCGGCAGGGACAGATTTCTCCATGGATTTCTCTAACAAATGGTCCACCCCCACCGTCAACCTATTCTCGGCTGCTTCGCTCGTTTTTTTTCCCCATTTTGTTCTTTGCTTTTTTCCGATTTCCGCTTTGTGTTTGGCTTCGCAGATGCACGGAGAAATCCTCGTCCAACTTCCACGCTGTTCCATGGGGGGTCTGCAGGTGCTTTGTCCGGACTCCGGACAGGACAGGACATTGTTTTCACTGGCTTGTATTTTTTTTTCTCTCCATTTCTTTTTCAATTTCTCTCTGTGGCTTGTGGTTTCCTTTCCTTTGCTCTGCTCTGCCCATGCTTAAGCTCCGTTCCAGAGCCGCAGGCTTGGCCCTCGGGTACGGTTCCGTTCTCGCCTTTTGTGTTGGGTGTGGTCTGCGCCCGGCTCCCCCTCCTGCTGCTGCTGCTGCTCCGTTGCACCATCCCATCCTGCCTATGCATAATTCTTTTATCTCAACTGCCCTGCAATCTCTCTCTGTGCCGCGCTCCTCCGTGGCAGCCTCTTTGCTATTGATGGCTTGTTTACAATGTGCCGCGCACACAACTCCCTGGCCATTTGTCTATAATTGACTAATCGACAGCGTAAAAAGGGAACTGCCAATTGAGAAAGAGGAGAAGCAGAAGCAAAAGCAGCAGCAGAAAGAGCCTGGAGCCTGCAGCTGGAGCTGCAGTTGGAGTTGGAGTGGCAGGAGGATCCCCTAGAGCTAGAGCTAGAGCTGCAGCTGGACCCAGCGATGGGCAGGCAGAAAGTGTGTCAGTGGCCGCAATGGCAGCTGCCTGACAGCCGGCTGTTGAACCACCCTCCTCCCACCCAGCACCCCACTTAGCACTTTAAATTGGTTCAAAAAATAATCATGCTGCACCCTAAAATGTATCCTTGCCGCGTGTTTTCTTTTGCTTAATTCTAAGCTGCAGCACTGCAGCTCCATTTAAAATTGAAATTATTCATGCTCAGTTCCCCAGAGGTGTCTGCTCTCGCTCCGCTCTCTATCCCTCTGTTTAAAGCCACACTGGCTCGGGCTCGGGCTCTGGCTGTGGTTCTGGTTGATGGGCTGGCTTTAAGCCTTCGCCCCCAATCTGTGGCAGATTAGCAGCCCCCAAAGAGCTGCCGCTGCTGCTGCCGCTGCTGCTGCTGCCGCTGCTGCTGCTGCTGTTGATGTGGCCAAAAGTCGAGGCTGTGGTGGGGGCGAATTGAATTAGCGTGGAAATTCCGTTCTCAATTAAGCGTATAATTTCCATTGTGTGGCGCTCACTGTGTTTCTGTATGTGTGTGCGATATGACCAGTGGCTGCAAATATTGGCCAGGTGTGTGTGTGTGTGTGCGCATGTACAGGGGGAGGTGGGGCGTGGCGGGGCGGGGTCTCGGCTGTGCAGTTAATTAGATTGCGAGTAATAATATTGCATGAGCCGGCACTCGGCCGGCAAACTGTGTACCCATTGTAGCATTGGGTGGGAGGCACCAAAAAGGTATATACCATAGTAGGGTATGGTCGCACACACACACACAGCCTGGCACGCCTGCCCCAATATATGAATATGCCTTTGGGTGTTTTGCTTTTGCCTCCCACGCAGTGCTCCCAGTGCTGTGCAGTGCAGTGCACACTTACATGTAATTAGCATTTCCTGTTTGGTTTGCCAATCTCTCACACACACACACACAGAACACACACACACACTTGGATGTGGGGAGGGGTGGGCAGGCCAGTGGCATAATTAGACGAGCCAAAAATCAAACGCCATCTGAATTCAAATTTAAATTGAGACGAGTGACCAGATTCAGTTGCAGTTGCAGTTGCAGAGCTGCCAGCTGTAGTTGCTCCAGTTGCAGTTGCAGTTCCATGGACACGATGTTGATGGATGGATGCATGACCCCAATCCAGGAACAAACACAGAGAAAGAACTAAGCAAATATCTGCTGGGGCCCAGAACCAGAACCAGAACCAGACCCTGGACCAGGCGCACCTGCAAATACTCGTAGAATAACCAGGCAGGTGGAATACAGTACAGATGAGGATGAATGATGATGCGGAATATGCAATTGGAATACCTGCCTTCCATTCACTGAGAAAAAAACCAACCCAAAAAAATCCTTTTTATGATCTATGGAAGCCAATGCCAACTTTGCAATGCTCCAGACTCCATTCAGACTTTCGATCTGCATCAAAATCTCTGTAGAAAATTCCATTTAAATATTTTACTGACCGGCTGACCGGAAGATATGAAAAGTATCCCACAGTTACACGCCCGAAAGATGCATTTTGGCTGATCAGCACTGCGGCTACTGCCCTTGGGCCCCCCCAACCCTCTAAGTGTATAAACAGTTTGGCACGCACACAATCTTCATCTACATAACAGAATAGGGCCACAACAAAGCGCTGTCCCACCCCATGGGTTTTTTTGAAACTAAGTGGCAACAAAAACTAAACAATATACAAAAATCCAATGGGGCCGGAAACCCGCCCCCCAGGCCCAACCGCAAAAGGGTTTAAAGTGCAGCAGGTCACAACAAAATGTATTAAGTTGAGATTAAATTCTTGTTCAAAGAATGTATTAAAAAACCTTTTTCAAGAAATTAATTTTAGGCCCTGGCAAATTTGTTTGGCAGACGAAGCGGAAGGCAAGCGGGCTGTGTTAACCTCCTCAAGGGGTGCGCCCTTTGGGCCGCGGAAAAGTCCTACACAGGGGTAGAGGTTCTCCCGCGGGCCAAAACGCAGCCCCCAAAAGATCCAAAGCAATTGGCCCGCACCCGGCTTCCCCTGGGCTTGCTTTCTTCTGGCCAAAATTTACAATGCAATCTAGACCAATAAAAAAAGACAATTTATCCGCAACCGGTCACCAAAAAATACCCTGTCGTAATTGTAACAGTAACTCATTCGCCCACCGCTTCTAGGCTCTCGGAACTAGGTCGGTATGACGCGGGCTTTGTGAGCCGCAATCCATCAAGCCCAATTCTAAGGCGTACCACGCCCACTATTTTCCAATAAAATAACCTTGTCACAAAAATGGTTGTATTGTTAAGTATAAAAAAAATAATGGTTAAAATGGGGGCCCATGTGGCATTAACCGAAACAGAGCGATGTGGCAGAAAAGGGTCAAATTCCCATAGTGCTGCGGCAGCAATTTATAAAGCATCTTTTGGGGTTTACCAAAAGAAGTTTTGGCATACCTTCAGGCAGACGCGAGAAAGCGGTGGAACATTTATGAATGATTCGAGGTGCCAACGGCAAAGGGCATAATTTGCCCTGTTGATTTTTGGAGAATTTATTATTGATAATTTTTGTAGCGATAAATTACCGATACCCAATGCCTAATTTGGATCTAATATTTGTAGATCATCTTCAAATGGGATACAGAACCCAGAACAAAATGCCCAGACGTTGCCTTTTCCCGCAGTGTGCCAGCATCCGCATCCGCCCTGCAGGTACATTCGGGTACACATGGATATGTGTGCGTGTCTGTGTGTGTGTGTGTATGTGTGTTAACCAACAAATCAACCAAACTGACTGACCACAGAGCATTCATTTTATGTGGTTTTTTGAGTTGTTAACGCCCCCCGGACCGAAGCTCACAGTCTCACACTTCCATCTCCATCCCTAGCCCAATCCAAAAATTTATTCCGCCCATCCGCATGGTACCTGGGAGCATGCCCACCTGTGGGGATTGGCTGCTATGTAATTGCAGATTTTAATATTTAAGCCGCGGCTGCTCTTTATCCCCGGGATTTATGCGCATGCATTATGATGGCCATTCCATTTCGAATTTCGAATGGGGGGAAACTTTAATTAGTTTGTCAAATTTGCATGGAAATACGAGACGACGAGATGCTCGTCCTCGAGCATCGTTTAAACATATTTCGCCCTATGGATGTGTGTTGGCACGCGAATCTCTCGCATATTTCGAATCTAATGTGTGTTCTGTCACTTCAACGGAATGCAAAGTGTTAACCAACTTAACAATAAGTGTAACCTTATGGCCTTCCTATAGCCAGCCTGGCAGGGCCATCATAAACATCATCAGCCGAAGTAGCAGCAGCTCCATTTCGAGGGGCGGCCATGTGGTGTCGGTTGCCAGCAGTCGAAAGGGGTGCGAGTCCTGCAGTCCATAAACAGACTCCATAACAGCATTCAGAGGGCCCATGGCCCATCCTCGCTGGTGTGTGTGCCATATAAATAAACATAATCGTGAAACAAGGCCAAGGATGGGGTGGCTCTGCGGGAATGAGTGGGAAGGAGTAGGCAACCCTAAATGCTGCGGAATTTTAATAGTTCACGTAAATGGTTTTTGTGGCGTTGGTAATGTTTATTAACCAACTTAGACTCGACGCAACGGAGAAAAGGACCTTCACGTTATGCTCCTGCTGCTGCACTGACAAAAAACAACCGAAAAGCAGCAGCACAAGATGCGCCTCTCAACGAGAACAAATAAGCAGATACTTCTAAGGGAAGAGTTACACATACTGTGCATAGCGGAGTATTTATCTTTAATGGATGGCATTTGCTATGCTATATTTTAGTCAGTGCTGCCTTCTTTGCCTGTTGCATGGATACTCCCAAAACTGCTCGACGCGTATCTGGTATCATTTTCGCTCGGTGTTGGTGCTGCGGCTGCGGCTGCTGGTGCTGGTCCTCCAGTGGAGCGTGTTTAATGCTCACTTAAGTTGCGTTTATACAAATTTCTTCGCCTCTCGACTCTTGCTTTTGGTCCTTCTCAGTCCCGGTCCCGGTCCCAGTCTCTGTTTCAGTCTCTGTCTTGGTCCTTCCATTTCCTGCTCCTTGGGCAACTTTTGTTAGTTGGCTCCTTGGGCACAAACCCTCAAAGAAGTTTGTGTGCAGTGGCTTAAGGTACGAGCCAGCCCACCCTCGCTGCCAAGTTGTGCGTAAGTGGATTCATTTATGCCCGAGAATAAATGCTTTGTTGTTTGCATTCTGCGAAGTTTTGTGTCTCACGTCTTTGGCACGCTCTCCAGTCGGTCGCCTCTGCCGCAACGGATTCGCCTTTGGAGTCTCCAGACCTGGACGCCAGCCACTCAACTGGAAGAGGAATAAGGCAAAAAAGGGATAATCTTCCCTGCCCCCACTGAATAAAAAGAAAAAACAGCCATTGGGTTTAGTTTTTTTTTTGTTTGTTTTTTTTTGGAAATTTTATTCTTCAATCACTTTTCGTTCTCATATCAATTGTGTTATTAGCTATGCAAAAAAAAATGAGTAAAGAAATGTTGGGGTTTTTTCTTCACACGTGATCGTCGCTTACATGGCTAAACAACTAACATTAGAGTACATTCCAGTATGAATTACTATATATATATATGTATGTATGTATTTATAGTATATGTATATGCATAATATTATATTTAATGTGTATTGTGTGTGTGTGTGTGTGAGTGTGTGAATGTGTGTATGCATAGTAGAGTACTTTTCATAGTGGATGCAACATGCAACAGAATTTATACACCTCCAACAATTTGACTAAGCTGCTATCCAAACAAAAAAAAATATATATAATATTATTTATTTATACCTACAATATATAAAGTGTACATTGAGTAAAAGTATAGTCAGATAATATAAAAATACATAGGGAATCTGTACAGTTCGAAGTAAAACATAAAATACAATACAATAAAATATATAGGGGGATAGGGTTGGGAATAGGAATAGCAAAGCATAATAATGGGATGGATGGATGGTTGGATGGATGGACATCAGGAGGGGGAAAAACACCTTTATCCTTTTTTTTGTTTTTCCCATCTAGTTTTTTGATCCGCTTCTTAGACGGCTTTATCCTTAGTTTAGGCATAGTTTTTTATACTTAATGTTTTTTTGTTTTTTTTTTGTAATTCCCCTTAACAATTTTCCTATTTACAGTTTTACAACTCAAAACTTTTGATCTTGGATTTTCCTTTTCGTTTTTCCTTTTCCTTCGTTATTTTTTGTTTTGCTTAGCATTTAGTGATATATACGATTTTCTTTTCTTTTTCTTTTCTCGAAAAATAAGAAGTAGCAGAAGGAGGGATAGGCCTTCCTTCCTTCCGGGGGTTTTTTTTGTTCCTATGTTTAAGGTGTGTGGCCCTTTAATTGCCTATACAACAACAATAATAATATCGATTCTATCCGAATGTGAAAACAAATTTTCATGAAATTCTTCATTTAATTATCAATAAACATCATCAGTCTTGAACTTAGTTTAGGTTTTTTTCTTATATTCTTTTTCCTTTTTCCTTTCTCTCTTCTTCGATTTCCAGCTGCATTTTCTGCTGCTGCTTCTGTTTTCTGTGGAACTCGTGAAATATCCTTAAAATGTGGGTATGGGGGGTGGGTGTAAGGGGTACCACCTTTGTGACGTTTATTTTGTGTGTGAAATCTGCAGAGATGGGGGGTGGGAAGAGGGTTCTCCAAAGGATTAAAGGGTATTGAAGGCACAATTTCAAAAAAGTTTTGCTCCGCTTCGCTCCTTTCATACTCCTTTTCATTATGAGTATATTGTATCTATAACTATAACTACACTTAGATCTGTGTCTGAGGAATAATGGAGGGAAGGTGCTGCGGATTGTATGTGTGTGTGGGTAGGGGTAGGGGTAGGAGGAAGGACCCTTTCTATAATACAGAAATACAGTTAAAATCGAGCTCGAACAAAAAAAAAAAAAACCACAGAAGCCAGAGGACGGGTTCAGGAACGACGCAACATCAACATCCACATCCAAGCATCGAATTTGTATCCGATATCCAACTAGTAGACGCGATCGATACGAGTATATCTTTTCCGCATCTTTGCACTCTTCAGACAAAGAACTCCTCGTTGCCCAGACTACTGTCGCCACCGGCGGCCTCGACATACTGCGTTGCCTGCGGCATCCAGGGCCAGGACCAGCCACCGCCATAGCCACCGCCGTAGCCGCCGCCGCCGAGTAGTCCGAATCACCGCTCCGTCGAGTGGGTGGTGGCCCCAAGGCCGCTGCTGCTGCCCGAGCCAGAGCCCAGGCCGCTGCGACGAAAGAATCCCAGCGTATCGAGTGCCTTAATGGTGCGCCGAATCAGCTCGTCCTTGTACTTCCAGATGGTCTTGTCCTCCACCGAATTCTCGCGATACTCCTCGCAGCTCTTCTTCAGCGTCTTGACGCAGTCGGCGCGATAGTGCTGCAGCTGGGCGTCCTGCGTGTCCACCGGATAGGACTTGCAGACGCCGCCGAGGCAGCTCAGCGGGAAGTGATTGTGCAGGGTGAGCACGCGCTCCGGATCGTGGAAGCACTTGACGTACTGATTGGGCTTGGTGTAGTTCTTAGCGCGGTGCACATGCTGCAGCATGTGCATATACTTGGGGATGTCCTTGTGCCAGCCGTGCTCGTGCTGCTGGTCGTCCAGGAAGTACACGTTCCGGAAGTTGTAGCTGTGGAAGCCGTCCGGCTTGATCTTGCGCGACTCCGGGCGCACCTTCTCCATCAGCTCCGACCAGAGGACGGCATTGCCCTTGGGCATGATCACCTCGTCAATGTCCAGCAGGGCAATGTAGTCGTACAGGTACAGGTTCTTGTACAGGCAATCGTTGTAGGGTATCACCTCGTTCTGGCGCTTGTGATTCGTCTTCTTGGTGAGATACAGATGCTGGAAGCCGGGCACATTCGGCTGCCCGCCGGGCAGCGTCAGCGGGATCACCTGCACCTTGCCCTCCTGCTCGTAGTGGCTGAGAACCTTGCTGATGTTCGGATGGACCTGCAGGTTGTAGAAGTAGATCTTGTCGGCACCCAGAATGTTCAGCATCTCGATCCATTCGATGAGCCGCACACTCAGATCGTCGTAGAGGAAGTCCAGCCCCTTGACACAGACCGCAAAGCCCTTCTTCTGGTCGTCGGGCGGCCGATTGTAGATCACACGCAGATTATTGGTGGCCGTGTCGCACTCCTTCTCCACCATCGACACGGAGCTGGGCACAACGCCGTGGAAGGGCTTCGGTATCTGGCAGGCGATCAGATACGGCTGGTAGATGCCCTGCTTGTAGTTGCCCCACTTGTTGTACCAGATGTACTTGTACTCGAACGTCTTCACGATGAACGGCTCCTTCTGGCCGTCGAACCAGAACTGGCAGTAGGTCTTCACCTTCGGCTCGATGCGATCGATCATGCCCAGTATACGCACCGTGGGCCCCAGCAGCGAGGTGCGACGTATGTCGTAGTAGGCGCCAAACAGCTGAAAGGTGCCGTTCGTGGTGCGCAGCGTCTGCCAGTAGATGTTGTTGAACTCCAGCTCAAAGATCGATGGGTATTTGGCGCAGGTCGATGACTTTTGCTGCAGAAAATTCTTGTTTTTGCTCCAGTAGGCAATCGGCAGCGAGGGTATCCGCGATTCCACATCCCTCACCAGCTGATCATCGTCCATGGCTGCCACAAACGAAACGCAAAAACGAATTAAAAAATCTGCTAATCAAAGTACGCCCCGTGATGATGCAATTTACCTGTGCGATTGTCCACCAGTATCTCGCTGGGATCAAAGTGATCCGTTGTGGTGGATGTCGTCTCCGCAGCATACCGCATGTCCTTCTGCAGCAGTATCCGGCCGTTGAGCGGCACCTGCTGGTACTCCTGCGGCACCAGATTCGTGCCATGCATCTTGAACAGGCCAATGATCACGAAGGACCACACGCACAGCGAGAACAGGATCTTCAGTATCACCTTGGAGTGGGCCATGGCTTGGGCTGGGCTTGGCTTGATAGTCTTCTAGTCTTTTGTTGCTTTTCGCTTACACGCTGCTGCTGTGGCAAGAGGCTCTCACTGTAACGAGCAATCAAATACGAATTTCGGGCCATTAAATTAAGGGAAATTAATTTTATCTGCATCCTGCCTCCCCCCCATCTCTGATGGTCGTCCCTCCTATTTAAATATGGCGTCGGCTATTTCCGTTTCCGCTTTTCGGTTTGCCCTGCCAACGCCCTGAGCGCGAAAATGTCAACTATGGGAAAAGTGCGTGTAATATTTCTCCTCCTTCAGGCAGCGGCAAGGCAGAAGGCAGTAGGCAGATGATGAAGCAGATCTCGAACAGCAGAGGGGCAAGTGGGCAGAGGGAGCAAGGTTTGGTGTCCTTTTGCCTAATGGAAAACAATCTAAAAATGCCACAAAATCATTTTACCGGAGTAGGCGCGTGGCAGGTGGGCACTAGTGACACAGTGGCACAGGCTTTGTGGGCACAGGTAAAAACTGTAACCCCAAAGGAGGGATTACTGAGGCAGGGGACTTCTACAAATTAATTCCCGAGTCCCCCCCATCGATTGTCTTTTAGAGTTTGTCCCTCAGCTATTATTTCTCTTGTATTTAAGCACTCAACACTCTTCTCTACTCTTCTCTTCTCTCCTCTTCTCTTCTCTTCTCTTCTCTTCTCTTCTCTCCTCTTCTCTCCTCTTCTCTCCTCTCTTCACAGCCTTCTATTACGAGTATTTCCACTGTTCCTGCTAGGCCAACATTTCATTTGCATTTCCTCTGCCCCTGTGGCCGTTGGTCAAGTTGTCTCCTCCTGCTTTCGCTCGTCCTTCTCCGCCCCACCCCTCATCTACTTTGTGTGTCATTCTGCCTGGTTTATGCCACCTCTGCCTCGACGATTACAAGCCGAGTGAGCTGACTGTGTCCGTGGCCCCAAAGGACTCTGCGGCCACACTTCAGGCGACAATCTGTTTGCCTATCTGCTGCGCCTAGTGCCTGTATCTTGTGGTGTATGTGCGTGCGCATTACTCATCCAGCATCAGAGGCAGCAACAGAGGCAGCATCAGAGGCAGAGGCAGAGGCAGAGACAGCAGCCCCATTGTGTCTCTGGTGGCGGGGCATTCCAATATTTATGACATGGCCATCAGAGCAGCGAATGCGGGGGAGGGAAGGAAGGATAGTGCATCCCTCATCCTTCACTCGCTATCTTCCATTTTCTATCATTCAGGAATCCTTCATTAAAGTATCCTTCATCCTTTATCCCTCACCCCCCCCTCATTGCCCATCTTCTCTTATTTCTTATTGTCTCGCAGCTGTCGGTCGGTGGGTCTTTCAATTGAGAACTGGACCCCGCCAACAGATGGAATGCCATTACCCATTATCCACGACGAATGGGGCACCCCCCCCCGTTTCCTCAATCTGAATGCTTCCTTGCTTCCTAGTGGGGCCCCCACCCTGCCACTCTGCTTTAAAGCAAATTGCATGTCCAGCTCATTTCCTTGCCACAAAGCTCCTTCGGCAGCCTCCTGCTGCCCCTTCTGCTGCCTCCTGCAGCCTCCTGCTGCCCTTCTGCAGCCTCCTCAATCGCTCTGTAAACACCAGAACACACACCCTACCTCCCCTCCCCCTTCGCTCCCTTCGCTTGTTCTTGCATTCAGATCGCTTTAGTTTGTTTCAGTTGAATCAAAAAGTTGTGTATGCAACATTTGCCTGTGTGGCATGGCATGGCAGGCAGCCAGCAGCAAGCAGCAAGCAGTCGAGAGTTTTTCCTCAAGTGTTTTCCATTTCATTTGCATGCACCGCAAACTTTTCGCACACACAGACACACAAAAACTGAGATACAAAGAAACACTCTCTCGTATCGCACTCGCTGTGGCAGTGGCACTGCCACTGGCAGATGTTGCAACTAGCAAACAAGCTTTCAACAGAAAGGGGCGAGAGTGTGTGGCTGCTGCAGGAGCAGAAGCACCTGTAGCCGAAGGGAGTGCGGAGTTTGATTAACCCTCAAAAAAGATCTCTCGGGCTCTGGCTGCTGCTGCTGCTGAAGGAAACCTTCGGGGTTCAGGGCACACTCCGAAGACTCCACTTTTGGGTCCAAATTGTTGCCAGGCAGAGATGCGATCATTTATCATTCGAGCAAAAAGATTTCGGGGCTTCGACTTCGACTTGGAGACTTCGCTTTCGACTTCCACTTCACGTAGGTTTTATTTTTTTTTTTTGTTGGGTTAAAAATTCCAAACAATTCTACAACTGAAAGCCCGAAAAACGATTTGGGTCAATTTGCCATTAAGATACGCGTCATGGTTATGCGATTATTGGCTGCTTAGAGCCACACACAGCACCAGACCCAGACCCAGAACCACAACCAGAACCAAAGACAGGGACAATGCCAGAGCCAGAGCCAGAGCCACAAATGCGAGTAGAGTAGATCCAAAGACAGGGGCAACTTCTCGTCGTTTTGTTCTGGTTGTTGGTCGGTTGACTGCCGCCTTTCGGCTGTTAATTTGCTAGGCAAAACAGGTTCGATCTGTGTGAATGGCGTGGCGGGAATGTGTGTCGCACCCAGAGAGAGACGATCGAGTGGCAAGCGCGGTACACAAATTTTAATGATGCCTTCGGTGGTGTTGCTGCTGCTGCTGCTGATATTCAGTGGATTCGGTGGCTAACAAAATGGGTCAATGAGCCTCAATGACTTTTACAATGACTCCAGCGACAGTGCTAGAGGTAGAGGTAGAGCCAGAGCCAGAGGTAGAGTGTCTCCCCCCCTACCCAAATAGCAATTAAACGGAAAACATAGCTCAAAGATTGATTTGGGATTGGATTAGCAGCGTGCATTGATCTCGATCTCTTTCTCTCTCTCTCTCTCTCTCTGTGTGTGCCTCTTTGTGGACTTCAGTTCAATGATCTATGGGGGCCAGTTCAAGCCAGAGAGCGGTTAGAACGGATGGAATACTGAACGGGAATGTGCCACGAGCGGTGGATAACAGTTAGAAATTGATTAAATATCGCAGATCAGCAGCCTCAAGGAAAGACTCTGGGGCCACTCTTGGACTAGCAGTCAACCATCTAAAGCAGCGAAAATATTTTCCAGAGATAATTACACGAGTGTGGTGAACATTTAAAATACTCCCGAAATAATTAACAGAGAAAAGGCATTGAAAAAATAAAACTTAAAACCAACCTATAAAATACCAATGGAACTCTTCAGTTTTCACAGACTGAATGCATTCCCTTGCAGGAAAAATGACAGAGGGGCAGGGCAAGCAGCCATTTCACTCTCTTCGTTTAATTTTGTGCCCATCAAGCGGCTAATACCCCCTGGCCTAGGCATGTTCCCATATCCTTACGCGCTGCATACAAAAATAAATACATTTTTGCACTCATCTATAACTGATTCTATAATACTTATATTATATTATATTATATTTTATTTTATTTTATTATATAATATATATTATATTATATATATGTACATATTATATTATATTATAATATATTATTTTAAAAGAAAATTATCAATGGAAAATTCCTTTAAATAGTTTTAAATCAGCTTAGAATTATAATAATATGTCTGACTCTAGATCCATGTCGCAATATCAGTAGCTAAGAATATCCATGAGCTACTCGTGCAGCAGCAGACGACTGACTCCAAGGGAGTTTTTATTGCTGAGTCGTCGCTGTGTTTTCGAGCTTAGATTTGCGGCGCGGCCTTTGCCTGCCTACGTAATATCTACATATAAATGCTGTCGTCTGTCACATTCCGTTTACGATCATAACTAGTTTTTTGTGGTGATTGTTTTGTTGTGGCTCTCTTATTGATTTATGCTCGTGGCATAAAGACACAAGGAGAGAGAGGTAGATTCATTAGCATTCTATTTATAGATAGGCGAAGTTGCCTATTGTTTGAAGGGTGCACAGACAGACAGCACGCAGCATACAGGTGGCACACCATCCGTCAGATAGCTGCGCAGATGAGTCACTGGGAGTAGCAGTCATCATTGGAAATCATCGTTAAATGCAAATCAGATGCGCGAGATGGGTATCTGAACTCTCCCCCCCATCCCCCACACCCCCAAAAGACGCTTTAAACTATTCATTTATCCGCTGGCCAAGACATTTGAGTGGGGTGTGGGGTGGGGACGAGAGTGTGTAGTGCCGGCAGCAGGCAGAGAGTGGAGCACACACCGAGCTGGGTTGAAATTAAATGAAATGGAATGGGAGTAGAGTAAAGTAGAGAAAGAATCTAAATGAGTGCCACGGCACACAGCGTACAAAGTGGCACAAAGATCCGTTCGATAGCTCACACATCACACACCACACAGACACAGCCACAGATACAGATACAAATGTAAGGTGTGTGTGTGTGAAGACAAAGCCAACAAGCAACCCAAAATAAAAACCAAACCAGGAAAAGTCAAACGAACGAACGAACGAACGCATTTAAAATGCACGAGAAGACGCAAAGTGGCGCAAATGAACTTAAGTATCTTTCGTGTGTGCTGCTACAGTATCTTACAGATACGGCTACTGCCCCGCAGACAAAAAAAAAAAAAAAAAAAGAAATGTGTGGCAGCATATGTATCCCTGTATCCCCGTATCTGTATCTCTGTAGCTGTAGCCGCTGCGTGTGCGATTTTAATTCGCCTCACATCCTTTTATTTGCGTACGTGTGCGGCTGTGTTTCCGTGCCCCCTGCACCCCCCCCAAACGAACATTGTTGCTGCTGCAACATCATCACGTGGTTCCAGGGGATGCCTACGTCCCCCCCTGCCCCTCCACCACCACCCCATCCTCAACGATTGATAGCAAAATGATTTCTCAATATGTCGCCTAAGTTGATTTTGCTGCCTCTTTTTTTTTTTTCCGGATGGCAAATGAAATTTTTGTGCTCCTGCTGCTGCTGCTGCTGCTCCACCACTGCTCACATCACGTTCCTGTCTGTATCTCTCACACAGATACATTTCGCTCGCAAACAAAGTGAAATTCCAAAAGAAAATTGAATTACAGATATTAAAGAAATATTATCTATGGATATACAAAACTCGCAAATATTCCGAAGAGCAGCTCCGAAAAGGGAA